TTTTGAGTTGTATTCTATCAAAAGTAAACAATAAAATAGGTGTTTTTCAAGGCGATCAGTAAATACTCCCTCCATCCCTCCTGCCCATCTTTTAAAAAAAACACATTCCTGGCTACGGCACTGACATCGGTGTCTCACAAGGCTGTGGGAGCAATTCTTTCTCCTTCTATAGTCTAGTGGGCACCACCCGCTAATACTTAGCTCTCCATAGCGTAATCGGTCCTACCACGGCGTCCAAGGCAACGCGTGTCAAACAGTGCCGTTGGCTCTGATGACTCGTGCAAAGCGAAGCACGCGATAGATTCACTGCAGCGAAGTCGAAGTTACCTGAGGTAAACTTAGTTGCATGCTGCCTCACCTATATTGTAAAAAAATACAAAACAAGTAAAGTGTTCGTATGCAGCTGCGACTGGGATTTAATTGTTCGGCAAGTTGCAGTGTTTGAAAACCCACCTCTTTGTTTCCCCTGATGTACTTGCACGTGACAAAAAATATAGACATGCACGAATGGCGAGAAATAGCTGCTTTTAACGCGTGCTTTAGTGCATAATATTGCCGTGGAGTGGAATATATACGCGGATATTTTGTGTGCGCGGCTGAATACATGCCAACGGTCAATATGCATCGCAATCACATATGAGGAAAATCAGAAGGGATGTCATAGATTATGGCCAGTGTAATAAGATCAAGCTATAACAGAAGCGCTCACAGAGACAAATCATATGCTGAAACGGGTCTGTGGAAGCATGTCCAGCAGCACGATAGCTTTTCCACGAGCCATTATCGAAATACGTGATCGCGCATTCTGCGTGGGTAGAGCCTTCCGTTCGATTGTGATGGAAACACTAGAAAAACGACAAGCTCCATGCACTATGACAATATCAAGACGTCTGCGTACGAAGAGACAGACCCAAAATGAATGAAAGAAGCAAGACAGTAGTGTGTATAAATTAGAAGTACATTAAAAAGCAATCAAACCAAGGGTTGTTCAGTAGTATAGGATCGAAACAAGTTTTGAACGAGTGATATGTCTGTAGAAGTTCTATGCTGCACTGTTTTCACTCGGTTTTTGCTAGCAACCTTCTCGATGAACTCGCTCGTCTCCATCTATTGATTGAAGAAACATAAATGCATGAATGGTCTCATAATCACCAGCTACGAATTAGCATATATTAGATGGGAAGACACGTGATAATTAACACTCGTGCACTGCATACACAACTCAGAAGGAGTATACTGCAACGCCTCTTTTCTGGGAATCTAATTTAATCCCTCCTCAGGTGTCTGCATGTTTTCTGGTTGAATATACGACTCATTCCATGTACTGATTTCAACTGACAGGTGTTGCCAGTATTTTAATATTTTCGTACCAAGCATCTGCTTTACGAGAGGCTTACAGTATAGAACATTGCGAACAACGCCTTCCGTCACGCATTCGGAATATAGACATATCGAGTTATGTTTGTAGTTTGAACATGTGAAGTATTCTTCTTTCAGTTCCAGTAATTACGTGTGAATGCAAATCGCACGTATAATAAGCGGAATGTGTAACACCGTCGCAAACTTAACCCTGCACACAAATACAGCACTCAAGTATTCAGACTTGATTTGATTCATATGTGAAGTTTAACGTCCCAAAATCAACATGTCATATGAGGGCCACACTAGCGGAGGGCTCCGGAAATTTTGACCTCCCCGGGGTTTTTAACGTGCACCAAATTCTGAGCACACGGGCCTACAACATTTTCACCTTCATGCAGACGTCGAAGCGAGAATCAGATTCAGCGACCTGCGGCCCAGAACCCGAACTCAAGTACTCAGAGACACGTCTTGTGGTGGTAAAACAGATGCGTAAATAATCTATTGATTGCGGAGAAAGCAAAAAAAAAAAGGAGTGACAGTGCTCCACCAGCCACAGAACAAGCTTACGCAATTTTCTCGGTGATAACTTCAGATGTTCGCAAGCGACCTTACACTCCGTTTCAAAACCTGATGGCAATCAATCATGAGAGAGCGCCTTTTATAAGAAAGTGCCTACGCGCATGTCACGTCCATTAAACCAATTGGTAGTCCCCTTTGTGTGGAAGTAGGTGTACTATAATATTATCGTTCGGTTTTCGTAACAGATGGAACTTGGTGCATTTTAGGGGTGAAGCTCCTTACGATGTGGTCAAGTCCCGTGTCGGCATCCCTCATAGCCACCTCTCGCTTTAGACAGACAGACAGATAGACAGACAGATAGACAGACAGACAGACGCATGGACGGACGACGTCTGTCCGTCCGTCTGTCTGTCCATGCGTTCATCTAGTGAACACTCAAATTACGGCCATCTCGCATCTTTTCACCTCATATATTCCCCACAAAGAAGTACCGCCATCCAGCGGGCATTCCAAGGACTAAACGAGAGGTGGCTATCTACTACTACTTCTACTACATACATCGGGGACGCACGACCCACGGCTTAAGGTGCTTCGCCCCTAATATGTAACTGCAAATTTTCCCCATTAAATAATTTATTATTAATAACTCACATCACGATACATCATAATAATTAACTATAGCTTCTACAACAATTACGCAAGAAAAAATACTGAAAAAATTACCTATATGTTGGCCACTCGCGTAGCCGGGGCATTGAATGCGAGGACAAGCAGAAGAAAAAGAAGAAGTGGGGCCCTCGTGCCGAGCGCGGACCACGCGGCGGGAAACCTGCACGGACGTGCTGAGAACGAGATCTTGTGCAGCAGGCGTCGGTCACCAAAGTGAAGAGACGCCAGGCGGACCATCGTCCTTGAGCCGAGCCTCTTCTGAAATATTTCAACGATGCTTCGCTCGGACAAGCGCGGAGGTACGTATTCACCTATCTATGGTCTGCTGACCCATATCTAGTGTTTTAGTTGCGTTTTTTCTGAGTGATTGTGAAAGACTCTAAGCCTATCTCAACGGCCGTCTTTAAGGCTCACACAGCTTGCGCAGGGAGACCGAGATGCCGTGTTTGTTGCGAGTCATGTGTGAACACTGATATGCTTAACGGCTGCTCTAATAGTTTTTGCTATGCCGTTTGAAACAATGCTGTAGAACATGCAGAGTAACCTTTGAACGCTAGGCTGATGTTGCAGTATCGCGACACAACCGAATATTTTTCTTTTACATTTCGTGTGTTTATCACGTAGGACTACGCTAACAATTCCGGCCTCTGAGTGTCTAGTGGATGTTTTGAGCGGTTTATTGTGTTGAAATCGTACAAAGAAGCTCAATCCCATAACCCCCTTAAAGGGGCCCTGAATCGTTCAGGGGTCTAAATTTACTTGTGGTGCGGCAGTTGCGCTCCTGTCCACCATAAACACGTAGCCGTGATAACTTTTTTGGATTGGTGACCTACTAGCAGAGTCAACACATTTGATGACGGATGCGTGGCAGTTGCTGATTTCGCTCTGTGCATCGTTCGCCGGCTGGTCTCACACAAAGTGGCTTTCTCTCCTGGCTGAGTATCCCACCCGATATCACGTATAGCACACGTCCTCGCCGACGTTAGAGTGCACCGGCGTGATCTCGGAAACAGCGCCGTCTTCCGATTGCTGCGACTCCGTCAACACCGTGATTCCCGGCTAACCGTTGTTGCCGTACCGGCCCGTGCTCCTACGAATCCTGCCGGCATGGACCCTATGTTGGGGATCCTTTCAAGGCGCACGCCTGAAAGAATCGTTAACTTGACGAACCCCTTCCGGTGACATGCCATGCCAGAGCACGTCTACACGAGCGCGGGCAGTCGCTGGCAGAATAAACGGAAGTCATAGCTTTGTGTTCCACCAATTGCTGACAGTCGACAGCATCACAGGTCCATAATGTCACCACGTCATTAAGGAGACCGAAAGGGTCCGGAAAGGAGAAAGTATCGTTTCTTGAAATTTGTAGCGTGCCCACTGCTTGTATCGCTGAGGCATCGTTGATCGTGACAGTATTATGAATACAATACGCTTGTTTACTTGAAATAAAAAAAAGCATTGAAAAAAGATATTAGGGCTCTTTAAAAGGCCAGTAAACAACCTCAAGGTCCAAATATAGTTAAAAAAGAAATACGTTCACTTTTCACTTTTCTTTGTGAATATGCCGCCGCAGGAATTTTGCGAATACCTGCTATGTTGAGGAAGCTACAGGAGTTTGAACATCGCTTTCAGCTGGTTTCGGATTTCGCGCGGTCTAGTCACTCGCCTCTCTCACATGGAGGCGAAAGCGTGGCCCGTCACGCAGGCTGTCGTCGTGACTACGGCCACCGAGCAACGCTTTTTTCCCGTGTTGCTCATGTAGAGGGCGAAGCACGTGCACGCAAGCGCTGCGATGCCCCCCCCCCCCCCAAAAAAAAGGGGAGGGGGAGTGTTTCGTAGCTTTGGGTGGGAACAAGAACTGACGTTGGCTTCACTACTGTTTGTTGAGGCTTGGTTTACAGCAATCGACAAGCAGCGTGCTGCGTCACGTCGCCGATCGCCTAGTTGACGTCACTGCTCGCGGAAGCATGTGGGTCTGGCGTAGGAAATATGCCCGGGAATCGTTGTTCGGAATGGAGGTTCTGCGCGGCGCGCAGAGCTGCAATATTCAGAAAACGTCATCGCTGCGGCCTACTCTACGAGTTGTGGAGCTTGTTTAGGGGGGTGTAAAGAAGAAAAGTCACAGCCTGTTGACTGGTCCTTTAAGTGCCGAAACACCCATCAGCGTTGCGAGCCTCGGATTAGATGATAGATAGTAGATAGATAGATAGATAGATAGATAGATAGATAGATAGATAGATAGATCGCGCGCATGCAGTTTGAAAATACCTCTTCATTTCAATGCTAACAACGTACATATGCACTTTTTTCACGCAGGAAACTCTGAGAAACTTACAAATCGTGGTGGTGAGTATAAGCTGCTACGCATGATGCCCTTCGTTATTTACGTGCCTCGGCATAACTTGACGGTGTACCTTTGGCTATGCCTCACAGACGGCGCGACCACGATACCTATGGCGACGTCTGCGCGCCAACGGGGTGGCACCTCAACCCTCGCGTCTGGCGGCACGGGCAGCCTGAGCTCGGCCAGCAGGTCGACCCCGGCGTCTTCTACATCGAGCAGCTCGGAGGAAGAAGAGGAGCCCGCCAGTGGTAGCTCCGAGGGGTCGTCCATGTCGCCACAAAAACGAAAAGGTGGACTCACCGTCAGTTGGCGTTGCGGAAAGCACTATTGCGAGAAACATACATGCCGACTCGGTATGACTTGACACTTTTTTTTCTTTCGCAGAGGTGATGCGACAGAAGAAAAGTTCTGCGGTGAAAGTCCTGGTCACCTTATTTCCAAGGGTGAGACCACCATTAAACTAATCTAAGAGTGGTGCGTCTGTGTCCATACTGGATGATTTCTTCTCAGTGATAGTCTGACGCAGAGTTGTGAGTGCCAGAGAGAGGCAGTCACTACTACTACTACTACTGCTACTACTACTACTACTACTACTACTACTATTACTATATTAACAGCAGTAGTAATAGTAATATTTTGAAGTTTCAGCAGCCAATCCCAGTCAAAACTGTGACACAGTGGAACGCATCACCAGCTGTGAAGCACTTCCTCATAAAAATATGGAGGTTTTTCATTTCGTTTAGTAGTTGAATTTCTCCCACTTACCGTACAAACAGGGCTTTTCGTATAACTTCACCGAACAACTAACTTAAATATGTACCGCAGTCTTGCTTTTTAACAAGGCAAGGTCAGCTGTGGACAACATCTGTGAAGAAAAGCAGTCGTACTGGTTATTCTGTAGCCAAGTCAAATTCATGGTGTTGGTTGCCTCTCAGATACCAAAGGTCACCACGGTGCTGCTGGAGTTCTTCATCAAGCGCGAGAACAAGGTCTCGCTGCTTCGTGACCCGCTGTCGCACTTCTGCCAGGAACAGTCAGTGCTTGCGGCACAGGACTGTCTGCAGAAGCTGCACCGACAGTTTATCACGTACCAAGACATTCGAGACATGGTCGAGAATCTGATGGGACTACACAGCCTGTGCCTGAAGCGGGCGCCCGCCACAGCACGCAGCCTCGGCCTGGTAATCCGCAAGCTCACCATCATCGTCGGCGAGCTGGCCACTTCTCTGGAGAAGATCTCCGAGGTGCCGGTTACCGACTGGATGGCTGTTGGTGACGCGGTCGTCACGCGCACCGACAAGGTATGTGCTCCCAACTCCCGTACACATGCGTATGAATGGAGGAAAGAAGTGTAAATTTAATGGATAGTCCGATCTAAGCCACAATGATGCCAATGAAAGTATGCAGGATGATATTAGAAATAATTTCAATATATATGTGAAGAAAGAGAAGTGAAGGAACAGATAACTTGCTTCCGGCAGGTACCAAAACTGCGGCCTTCGAATAATAAGTCCACTGCTCTACCACTCAGCTATGGCGGCGGGCATTCCTTTGTTTATGTTATAGTGTACATGTGCATTTTAAACATAGGAACGTCAGACAGTGCCTCCAGTAGCCACTTACGGCGAATGTGGAACACATTTTCTTTCTTGTTAGTTTCACATGCTACGGTACGCAAGCATGCCAAAGGAAGAAAAGAAAGTGCTGCGAGAAAACGTCGTGAAAACATGCGAAGGCTGTCAACGTGTTAGCGTGCGCAAAACAAAAGAAGTTCGCGGGGAAACCATCACTGTTGTGGCCGCAAAGCTCTCAAAGCGTCTCAACGCGTTTATTTGCGCGCGACACGTTCTGAAAGGCGTTTCATCTAATCTGCATCGTTGCGCATGCGCTTGCGTTTGCTCTTGCATGCGCCGTAGTGGTTAAATCACCATGCTTCGTTGTTCAATGATTACAGGAACAATCTCCTCTTCGGAACGTTAACATGCTTATGTATGTTTATGCGGTTTACGTAGGCAGCGCGGACTCGCGCATGTGTGCGCACATGTGTGGTGACGTTCGCTTTTATATTACATGATTTCGCGTATGTATGGGTGATGTCATGAACAAAAAAAAAGCTATTCGCATTTAAATACCCGCACTGAACGTATAGTCATCCCGTTCTGCTGTTTTTTTTTCGCAGATGAGAATCGATGAACTGCCCCCTTTCACCGACTTCATTCCGAGGACCCGAGACCTTGAGGCTGTGAAGCTTCTCGGAGCAGGCGGCTTTGGGTGAGTAGATGCCGTCACGTCATCGTATACTTGCAACTATAGCGCAACTCGCAGGACCACGTTAGTCACACAGCGAAAGTTCACAAATGACTGTTTTTGTCGTAAAGCGGTCAATTTGACTGTTTTCGCTCAGTCTCTGGCTGCTTGATTTTTCAGCCGCACGATTGTACACTCGAAGAGTTTTGATTCAGTCAGATCTAAAGGTACAGAAGCCAGTACATATTATGGCACAATGACAAAGCGAGCAGACGGGAATTGAGTGTGTGGCACGAAAGTGTGAAGATCAGTCATCTCTAGTCTTTTTTTTTTTGGTCATCATTGTGTCGGAAATGGACGTACGACCAGTGAAAGTGTGAGTAAGCTATGGAACGATCAGCTTAGGGCCTCCGCACAAGCGGAATCGTAAAAATGTATGGTTGTGCTAGTTGGCTTGTCGTGTAGAACTATTTTTATAGTATTGTTTCTAATACAGCACTATTTTATAGTTCCGCTTGTATACTTATCAGCGGGACTGTAAAACAGATCAGGCAAGACACAGTTGATTTGTCAATGTTGTGTTTAGGTTGAAAGATAAAGCCAGTCTTACTAAAGTAGTAGCTTGCAGCAGAATTTAACACTGCAATAAAAACGTATTTTGTGCTTATCTACAGAGTGACTGAAATCTGGACGCCGATTCCGAGATAAATAGGTTTTGTTCCACTGTTATAAGTCAGCACACGGTGACCGCGTGTGTGCAGTATATATATAAAGAACAAATGCTGGAGACCAGTTCCAACTCTGTAGAAATAATAGAGTGCCAGTTAGCAATAGAAAGTAATATGAGTGCCAGTTAGCGATGCTTCAATCACTTATTGCTTGCGAAGCCATGTGCACTATGAGGCGCACGCACCACGTGTGTCAGGCCCTGGCATATTCAATGTGATAACATAGCGATTTTCACAACAGCTTCTCGTCACCCTAATTCAGCTTGTTTTCAGGCAAACCTTTCGTAACTATCAGTTATAACAATGAGATTTTGAAGAAATTTTTTATTGATATAGGTGGGTTCAACTGAAATTTATTTGTGACCCAAATTGATTACCTAAATTGACTTGATTGTATAGGAGAATTAGCAGCAAGTGGCGTCTCGTTCACCAACATGGCGGCGTAGATTATCTTTATTAAAGGCAGGACTTTCAAACTAGTCGAGACTTCTCTACTCCAGTCATTAGTCGCTTGTTCTAATCTCCTCCTACCCTCTCCCCGTTGCTTTTGCACCAATCTCTCGTGTACGGGCCTGCACAGTGTGGGAATAGTGTGGCTTGGTGTGCGTCGAGTGAACTACTGGTGTACCTTGGAATAGGCGTGCGCCCTAGGAGCGAAGGGGAAACCCCCATTTCGCCTGAATAACATGAGAGTGAGGTGGAACGAAGGTGGGCCTGTGCGGTCATAGTTACAAAAAAAATTGACTTGAAAGCCTCGGTCACTAGGCGTCCTTTCCGTATGAACGACACCACGGAGAAAAAATGGGGTGACACTAAGATGCTTGATTGTGTTTTCATCGTATGAATGGTGCCTCGTACTACTCTGCTTCATTTCAGGGCTTGTGCCCATCTCATTGCATATTCCAAAGGACAGCAAAATGGCTTGAGGTCTCGTATAAAATTTTATGTGTAACCGAAACGTTGTTGACGTTCATTCCAACCATCCGACCTCGTTAGCCTGTCACTCCTTTTGCAGACAGCTCCTAAACACTCGTCATCTTCGTAATCTTTGGCCTGGCCAATCAGCGTTGGGGCTCTGCCATAAATCGGAAAGTGGTCTTGATTGTTTGGCATTTTCAGCACGTTTATTCAAACGCGGAACAATATGCAGGCTGATGTGTGCACCCTACTTGGAGAGCTTGGCTAGCGCCGTTTTATTTTATCACGCTACCCAGCTTTCTGGCCGGAGCACGGATCTTTTGGTTGCTTTCCAGACGGGCTCGGGATTTCAGCTATGCGAGTTCACACTCTCCCATCAGTTCTTTTCACACCCTGTCATTGTTGTCGTTTGCGTAAAATATCTGTTCTCGGACGATGCAATCCAGAAGTGTGCCAAAATCACATGTTCGTGCCGGCCTATTCAGGTCCCTAACTTTTGTAAGCCCGAAAGAGACGTACTACGTAAGACGAGTGAATGACACAAGACGAGTGCTTGTCCTGTGTTTCTCACATGTCTAACATACGCGCCTTTTACACTTACAGAAGTTATAAATCAGTACTAACTCGAACCCAGTGCCTTTTTCATGTCCCACCGTACTAGTCCAAATGACTCACCTTGGCTCGGAACTTTTTTTCAAAGGCCTATAGCGTTCCATGCACTCCGTTGGTCTGCAGCGTGTTGTAGTTGTCAAATTTCGTCGAAGGACCACTATAAGGAACTCGTCGAAACCTCAGCCCATAGTATGCACCGGGTTCATTCACGCAGAGCCCAGTGCAGAAAGAAGTGTCGTGTTGACACCAGTACCAAGACGGTCGCGCAGACACCGTCCGTCACACCGACGACTGGCCTACCATGGGCCTGCGAGAACTTGTCGCATGCGCCGCAAAATAAAGTGCCTCACCACTTTTTTCCTTTGCTGTTTTGCTTCAAAAAAAAAGAAGAATGATGTATCTTGAGCGCCGAGTTCTACACGTGTGCCACAAAAACGCACACGACCGTGAAACTGCATCGCTGCCGCATTTTGCGCAAGTGCGTTAGCTTCTGCGAAGTATCTGTTGTACTTACACCGCACACACATTAAACAAACACCTCTTTCTGGAGATGTAATCTTGTGCTTGATGTTACGATAATCTAAATGCATTTTGCAAAAGCCTTCGACGTTACATCTCACGGTCTGCGTTTGTTGAAACTGAGCCGCTAGAGACTGATCATGATTGACTGAGTCAAATAGTGGTCGGCTGTTTGATGTGCTCTTATTTCAGCGTTTCTTTTGCGCAGTGCCGTATACAAGGCCCGATACAAGCCAGCCAACCTGATTTGCACAATGAAGCTAATCGCCTCGGACCGATTCAACCGGCCCAAGCAGGCGTGCATTGACAAGGTGGTGGCGTCCGTCGTGCGGAGTCCTTTTCTTGTCAAGTATTACGTATGCTTCGCCACAAAGGTGAGAACAACCGTGGTTACATTGCAGCTAGGCTAGGTTAGGTTAGGTTAAGCTAGGCTAGGCTAAGTTAGTCTAGTTGCTGGAAGTTCAGCAAAGGCCAGTAAACTCACTAATGTGTCGACTCATTCTGAATCACTCAGACTCGGATCAACATGCGAGTCTGGGCCTGAGTGAGTCGAAGTAGTAATTGGGTGAGCTTGAGTACGAAAGAGTCCAGTCGAAGTAAAATTTGGCGAGTCTGAGTTGGATATTTTACTTTAACGAAACTGAGTGGGTTTCACTTTTTGTCGGCCTAAGCAATTTATCATGGCCGCCAGAGCAGGAAATCGAGAGTATTGCCAGCTCCGCGTTGTTTACAGTGCTAAGACCGTGATTCTTTTTGCATTGTGATTCAGGATGTCAACGTCGCAGAATTTTGTAGTTAGAAAAAAAATCTACCGATCCCACGTCATGCGAAAAAAGGTTTATACGAAGCAGTCGGCGAATGGCTGTCTGGACTGATTTTTTTTCTACTTTGAGCCTACGTGTTATCAGGTCGGTCGACGTATTTCTATACGCGTATTAATCGTGGTGAACATCGTGGGCTTGCCAGAAATGTCGACTACGCTGCATGGTGTTAAACACGTAACGTATGGTCCTATGGAAACCCATCACGGACGTTAGAGTACAGATGTCTGTATTATTGAAACAGAGAGCACTTCACGGTGTGAATACCATACGTAAACTTTATTAGCGCATTCCTCCAGAAGCGACATTTGAATATAGCTTGCTGAGATAGGAAAATACAAATAAAATGTTTATAAGACTGCTATAAACGTAGAGTCAACACTAAAACCTCAGTTGATGTTAAGGCGACATGACATTCTAGTCATAGGAGTAAATTATTTTCACGAATTAGACAGGCAGCACTACATGCTGCCACGAATACTAGAATACAAAGTATTCTGGATTGTTAAGCACTCTTACTAAACACGCAATTGATGTTGCACCGACATAACACCTGCATCGGGCCTTATTCAAAAGCTCTTTTGAGACCTGGTGTGGCCCTGTTGTAAGAAACCGGAAAGTCACACCGAACCCTTGTATTTGATTCCTGCTGGTATCCTAATTTCCCTTCTTTGCATTCATCGCGTCAACGTCACCTATGTTGTTTTTAAGTGTGAATACACTTTATAAGCGACCCCAAACCATCCGCCGCCGTCGGCGGCGTCCGCAGTCTTCTCTCTATCTTTAAAAAAAAAAAGAGGAATTGGCGGGCGGCAGCGCGACGCTCTACCGAATAAGCCACGGACGCGACGCTGATATCGGTGTCAGTAACGCGCCTTATACCGCCTCACCCTTCGCTCGCTCCTCTGCTCTCCTCGCTCGCTGCAGCTGCGCGCACACCCTTCTCTCTCGCGCGCCCGCCTTCTTTCTCAGTCTCCCGTCGAGAGCGGGTCGTGCGATGGATGTCCCGGAGGCAACGCTACCATCAACAACGAATGCAGTACAACCTAATGCCAGCACTGCACCCGTCGTTGGAGGTGACGGTACCGCGGTGGTTTCGCCGACGTTGGAAGACAAGGCGGCGCTGCGAAGGGCTCGTGAGACCGAACGTAAGCGGGTGAAGCGTGCAGCGGATGCCGAACTGCGTGCTCGCGAGGCCGAGTGCAATAGGGCGAAGCGTGCAGCGGATGGTGAACTGCGCGCTCGCGAGGACGAAATGAGGCGTCAGCATCGAGCTGCGAACGCGGCCCTAGAAGCGGAACGACAACGCAAGCGTCAGGCGAAGAAGGGCGATGAAGGCCGGCGTCAAGACGCCGCTCGCAATCGTCAACAGCGAGTGGACGTTCCCGAAGCCGTTCCAGCCAGTGAACGTGCCGCGCGGGAGAGGGTGCGAGGCCTGGACTTTGCTCGTCCGGACGCGTCGTGAAGTGTAAATAAATAATACTTCGTATATAATGTATCTGTGTACAAATGGTTCAACACAAACAACACTTAAATTCATTAATTACACTTGAATTATCATCATCAGTAATAAAACTCCCAAGCGTTTCCCCGAGGGTGAACATGGTTAAGCGCGAACGCACGGGATGATGCTATGAGGGGGAGTAAAGTTAAAATCCGTTGGCATTCGCCAGTGAGTTAACGTAAACTCACCCGTGTGATCAAATTGCGATTCCCAGGAACCATTACACCATAAAGGCACCATAGTGTGATTAATAAATATTGACACACGTCGCGCGCCTCAAGCCATATCACCACCAACCTTCCTATTGACTCGCCCAGTGGGCATCGTCTGCGAACGGGGGAAATGACACACCTCGATGGGCGCATGAAGAGGAAGAGGTAGAAGCGGTCTGGCTGACGAGCAGCTCGGTCGCCGGTTTCTGGCTCTGAGCTGTACCGATCTCAACCATTTTCCTGTAAATAAACGCGTTCCTTCGTCACAGTTGTGGTGGAGGTGCTGGGTAAGCCAGCTACTGTCAAGCGAGACCGGAGAGCAGCCGTCTACTAACGACGGAACCGCAAGAGCACGAGCTTCGCCGCAGCCGTCGACTAGCGGGCTTGCCACCACTACCTCAAGATATGAACTTGGACGGAGACATCCAGCAGCCGGTCGCGAGGGCGCCGTCTTTCCACTACCGAGAGCCACGCACATTTACAGGAAAACCGGGCGATGACGTTGAAGAATGGCTCAGCCACTATCAACGGGTGAGCCGAGCCAATGGCTGGAATGCGGCCAGCCAGTTGTCCCACGTGGGTCTATTTCTCGATGGCAGTGCTTTAGTGTGGTTCGAGAATCACGAAGACACCTTGACAACATGGGACCAGTTTATGGAGGAGATCAAGAAGTGCTTTGGCGACCCTGCGACGAAGAAGAAACGTGCAGAGCAAATGTTGTCGCAGAGAGCTCAAGCTTGTGGTGAGACATGCAGAACCTACATTGAGGAGGTACTGAAACTGTGCAAATGTGTGGACACCAACATGACGGAAGAGGACAAGGTGGGCCACATTCTCAAAGGAATTGCGGAAGACGTCTACCACTTCCTTATCGGCAAGGAGAGTCTTGAGTCGGTGGCCGATGTGATTGGGCACTGCCGAACGTTTGAGGCCCTGAAGACTCGCCGCATCACTACGAAGTTCGGACGCCTTGCCAATGTTACGACCGTCGCCACTGTCGATGTGTGCCAAGACTCCGTGCCTACCGACCTTTCGTCAACGATTCGCCTCATTGTACGTGAGGAACTTCGTCGTCACCTTTACGCGCCCTTGAACGCCCGAGAACCACCGTGCGATACACCGTCCACAAGTATCAATGCTACGAGTTTCGAGGAGCGCAGCTATTCCAACCGCGGCCCTCAGCTAAGGGCTCCACCACCGGCGTCTTCTTATGTAGAGTCGCCTCATGCTCCCCACAGTCGTTACGGCTACAACAGCCATCCACCTCCTTTTGCGTCTCAGTGGGAACAGAGCGCCGCGTACCCTCAACATCCAGCGACGTTCCCTATGCCCCGTGAACGGCCCGTCTGCTACCAGTGCGGTGTTCGTGGACATATCGCCCGATTTTGCCCAATGCGACGTAATCCACGTTCGACATTCCCTCAGAGATCCGCGACGTTTGCACAACGAAGCCAACGGCCTGACTACACCTACTGGCCCCCCAACCCAACTGACGAGCGGCACGCCTACCAGCCGATCAACCGGAGTGATTCGCCCGGATCTGTGCGCAGCTTAACGCCGCCCACCACCCGTCCACCTCGGTCACCATCTCCACGGCGCCGGTCACGAATGTCGTCTCCGCCACCGGGAAACTAGCCAGCGCGGCCGACGGAGGTGAGGTCGCTGGACGTACCGATTTTCATCAAAGAATGCCTCCACCAGTTTCTATGCTTCAGAATAAGGTTCAGGTACTTGTTGACGACGTTCCCACGATGGCATTGATAGACACTGGCGCAAGTGTTTCCGTGATGAGTTTAGTTTTTAAGCAACGACTGGGCCGTAAGGTTATGTTTCACTGGGACAAACCTGCCACATTTCGGGCAGTGAGCGGCGCATTCTTGCGTCCTGTCGGCGTCTGCACTGCGTCTGTTAGTGTTGCCGGTAAAACGTTCAAGGCGGAATTCACAGTACTGGCTCAATCAACGCATGACGTTATACTTGGCATAGACTTTTTGCGAGAGTGTCGTGCGACCGTGGATTGTAGAGCAGGTGAGGTTCTGTTGTCTACTCTCGCCCAGCAGCCTGATTGTGAGAAAGGTAACCTCACTGTAGCTAAAGATGTACTTCTGCCAGCGTGGTCCACGGCCAGCGTACAAGTGACCACTTCGGAAACCAACTCGAGTTTGAATTCACGTGACATAGTGATTGAGCCATTGCCTGTAGCTTGTCTCAAGAAAAACATCTTTGTACCACGGTGCATTGTATCTCTCGCAGACGAGACGGCTCAATTATGGGTGATAAACAGCTCACCCGAGTCGGTTGTACTACCGGCTGGTATGCGCCTTGCCCTGTTCGAAAAGCAGAGCAGCACCTGCATTGGAGCTTTAAGCGATCTTGAAAGGGCGGGTCCGGAAACTTCTGGTATGGAAGCTGAATTTTCAAAAATGGTTAGCAAGTCCATTTCCTCACAGAAGCGCAAAGACCTGGTTGCACTGCTGGCGAGACATGCTAAAGTATTTGATTTTGCACGGACGGTGCCTAGGGCTCAGATACCGACCACGCGCGCTCGTCACAAGATCGATACTGGCTCTGCTCATCCTCTCCGACAAAAGCCCTATCGCGTGTCCGTGTCCGAACGCAAAGTTATTGCTGAACAAGTTGGCGAGATGCTAGCCACTGGTGTAATTCAAGAATCGTCAAGTCCGTGGGCTGCACCTGTTATTTTGGTAAAGAAAAAAGACGGGTCCTGGAGGTTCTGTGTTGATTATCGGCGTCTCAATTCTATAACCAAGAAGGACGTGTACCCCCTCCCCCGCATTGATGACGTAATTGACTGCCTTCATTCAGCTTCCTACTTTTCTTCGGTAGACTTGCGATCCGGGTATTGGCAGATTCCCATGGATCCAGTTGATAAAGAGAAGACGGCTTTTGTAACGCCAGACGGTCTATTTGAATTTAATGTTATGCCGTTCGGCTTGTGTAATGCTCCGGCAACATTTGAACGCTATATGGATACCGTCTTGAGAGGCCTTAAATGGGAAATTTGTTTATGTTACCTGGACGATGTGGTTATTTTTGGACGAACTTTTGAAGAACATAATCATCGCCTTGACGTTGTTCTAACATGTTTGGAGAAAGCCGCCTTGACACTGAACTCAAAAAAATGTCGTTTCGGTGAACGGCAAACACTGGTTTTAGGACACCTTGTGGACAAAGCTGGTGTTAGGCCGGACCCGCAGAAAGTGGACGCCGTCAGCAAGTTTAAGCAGCCACAGTCTATCCGCGAGCTACGAAGCTTTCTGGGCCTATGCTCTTATTTTCGCCGCTTTGTACCTAATTTTGCTGAAAAGGCCCAGCCACTGACTGACTTGCTGCGCAAGGACGTCCCTTTCCACTGGACACCAAATTGTGAGTCAGCGTTTAAGCAACTACAGTTCGCTCTCACTTCCGGGCCAATACTATGCCACTTCGATCCCTCTGCTTCCACGGAAATCCACACCGATGCCAGTGGAGTTGGTCTCGGCGCGGTGCTTATTCAACGACACAACAATGCTGAACACGTCGTCGCCTATGCAAGCCGGTCCCTGAGCAAGGCAGAGCGTAATTATACGGTTACCGAATTGGAGTGCCTCGCCGTCGTTTTCGCCGACAATATAATAGTGCGAATTAATAAATACTCCTCATAGCATCGCCCCGTGCATTCGCACTTAACCATGTTCCCCCTCGGGGAAATGCTTGGGTTTTCTCTCGACACACTCACATTTAACTTAACAATGTGTACTGTCGTCGTTCCTGAGTAGATACAAATATACCCGCATACCACAGCCCGTGGTATACGAGTATGTGTTGCATATGTCCGAATGAAATGATTCGAAGACGTACTTGACATTATTTTCACGCTAATTCTGCCGCGACCTGACAGTCATATCCATGAAATTTTCTTAACCTCTAATACCTATTTGGTCGACACGAAGTTATGAAGTTGATCACGAGAAAACCCAGACGTAGGCGCCTAGATGGCTAGATAGATAGATAGATAGATAGATAGATAGATAGATAAATATATAGATGGATAGATGGATAGATAGATAGAAGAAAGAAAGAAAGAAAGAGAGAAAGAAAGAAAGAAAGAAAGGAAGAAATAAAGAAACGGGAAACGTGAATGGTTTGGTTCCCTGAAAAATGCCTAACGTTTGCAAACATTTTTGTACGGCAAAAAAGAGTCGAAGCGATAAAACAATGTGAACAGAGCCTTCAAACCTCCTTCGGATATTCACGCGCACCAGTGGTGAATCACCCCTTAAGACGCTGTTGCAAACACTCTCGCTAGGGCACTCAAAAGTCATCCTGTGTTTGAGACACTGCACAGGCTGAGCTGTATGCGTCCCGCAGGACGCGTATGTCACAGTGATGGAATACGTCTGCGGCGTCGACTTGATGCGCGTCGTGGAGCGCGCCATGTTCCTGCCCATCGACCAGGTGCGCATCATTATGGCCCAGCTCGTCTTGGCCGTCGAGCACTTGCACCTCAAGGGCTTCTTGCACCGGGACATAAAGGTCTCCAAGTGAGTGTACAAGACGCGCGCTCAGTGCAGTACAGGCCGACCAATCTCTCACTTCATTTCCAGCATGCTCATGGTTCCCGGTGGAAGAGTCAAGCTCATAGATTTCGACACCAATAAAGTTTGTCAGGGACACTGTGAGTACACAAAGCCGAAATTGCATTTCCAACCCTCTGTAACGTTCCTCGTCTTTTTCGCAGTTACAAAACGTGTGATGCGAGGCTACTTCCGGCGAACCCCGTTCGAGTTCAGGGATGGAGAATCCGCCGGAACCATTCCTTACATGGCTCCTGAAATTCTGAAAAGAAGGCCATATGGTGAGACCAAGTGCTGTATTCTGACTGCTCTCCGTTTATATCCGTCGCTATGTTTGTGCTTTCGTGTCACTGTGAATGATACCCGAGGAGTTCGTAGACATGCGTTGCAGTGGTCTTCAATAAGGGTTTACATATATAGATACCTTAAATGAATGGCCAGGTATTTTAGGAGAATCACCTCAGTACAAAAAAACTAACAAAACCGTGTCTGCAGCGCTTCTCTTTGGTTTCTTTCTGATCGTAGTGCAATAATGCGAACGTGTTGACTCTGACGGTAGGGCTGTTGAGGCTTTTTTTAGGAATTGATTGCGCAGAACAACCTTGCCTAAGATTGTGTCGGCTAAAATGCTTTACCTTGTAGTTGCGCATTCACTACACAAGCACTAAATGATACCTCTGGCTTTTTCTTAACCATGCTAGAATATTGCCAGTTTTCACATGGTATTGAGAGACGTTATCTCATGGTATTGAGAGTCAATTCGCTAGAATTCATTATTATTTCAAATAAATAAAACGGTGTATTGAAATTCAAACCGGTATAGTCGCTTAGCGTAATGTCTTCGAAGACGTCACTGCCTGTACGACCGCGATATAAACGAAGTAGACATGTTGCGAACGCAAGAAAAAGGGTGTGATCTCGCAATGCGACTAGCTGTAGCGTCACTGTAACAACTGCTGTCACGACACCCGCAGTTACGTCATTACGAGCGCTGAAGGGTGGCCATGCCGGGCGAGGTAAGCTCTGAAGTCACAAGCGCAGGGTGGCCATTCAAATTCGCTCGTGAGAAGACATTTAGGAACCAATAAATTCACAATCAATTTTAGACGGAACTGAAAGACTTGCAAGTGTATCGTTTAGCACAGGTCGCTGGACCGGATTTTAAAGTGAGACGTGATATCAAAGTTTTTTAGCAAGTTGTTTAGCAGTATGGTGCACGTTGTATATTGAACGCAGGACGCGCCTGCGACTGGTGGTCCAGCGGCGTGGTATTCTACAAACTGATGACTGGTCGAGTGCCGTTTCGAGGTAAGACCAAGAAGTTGCTTCGCGACCGCATCATTGCGGCGCCGCTGAAGTGGCCGAAGGTGACCGAACACCCGCACTCGGCTAACACTACCTCCAAAGACATGGTCTATCTGCTGCTCAAAAAGAACCCAGTAGAACGACTCGGTTCGAAGCAGTACCGTGACCTAAAGGTGAGTTGCAGCTATTCGTTCTCTTTTTCCTACACGGTCGGCATATTTTTTGCTTAGATCTTTGAATCTATGCTTTAGGCGTTTTCAGTGACGCGTACAGTCACCCACAAAAGTTTGCGGACCAAACTGCCTGTTCACGCAACCTAGCGGTGCGACATCTACTGTCGACCGCAGGGCTTGGCTGGAAAAAGGTCTTGTAATTCAGTGGCCTTTCAATTTTCTACTGCCGCATAGGGCATTGTTCGCAGTGTTACCACAAAGCGGTTATCTGCCGTTTGTACTATCTAAATAGGATTTCTATTGTGCATTTCTATTATTGCGATAGCAATTATATGGACACTCTCGGCTGGATATCGCCGCCGGCGTCGATGGCGTGCGCTGTATATGTCATGCGCCCTAACCCGCTTGCCTTCTCTGGGAATCTCTGGGTCAGTTACTCCTAAAGACCAGCGGTTATCCTGCCTACGCACTACATGCCCAGCCCATGTCCATTTTCTCTTCTTCATGTTAACTGTGATATCCTTCACCCCGGTTTGTTCCTTCATCTACTCTGCTCTTCTTATCTCTTGAAGTTACGCCTACCATTTTCCTTTCCGTTGCTCGCTGCGTCGTCCTCAATTTTAGCTGAACCCTCTTTGTGAATCTCCGTGGATATGTACCAGCAAGATGCAGCTGTTATATACTTTCCTTTTGACGGGTAGTGGCAATTTACCTGTCATGATCTGAGAGTGCCTACCAAATGTGCTCCACCCCATTCTTTTTTCTTCTGGTTACTTCAGTCTGATGGTTCGGCTCCGTGGTCATTACCTGTCCTAAGTAGACATAGTCTTTTACAACTTCAAGTGCACTACTACCTCTCTCGAAGTGCTGTTCTCTTCCGAGGTTGGACAAAACTTTCTTTTTGTGCAGATTCATTTCAAGACCTACCTTTCTGCTCTCCTTACCTTACTCCTTAATCATGAGTTGCAATTCATCCCCTGAGTTACTCAGCAATGCAATTTCATTGGCGAAACGCAGGTTACTAAGGTACTCTCCATTAACTCTTATCTCTAACTGTTCCCATCCTAGTCTTCTGAAAACCTCCTGTAAGCACGCGGTAATTAGCATTGGGGTGATTGTGTCCCCCTGCCTTACACCCTTCTTGATTGTTATTCTGTTGCTTTTTTTATGAAGCACTATGGTAGCAGTTGATCCCCTGTAGATTTTTTCCAGAATGGTTATATATACTTCATCTACGCCCTGACTCCGCAGTGTCTGCATGACGGCTGATATTACTACTGAATCAAACGCCTTCTCGTAATCTATGAAGGCTATGTATAGTGGTTGGTTATACTCTGAGCATTTCTCAATTACCTGATTGATAGTATGAATGTGGTCCATTGTTCAGTAGCCTGTTCCAATTCCTGCTTGTTTTTTTGGTTGATTGAATTCTAATGTAGCCTGAATTCTGTTAGCAATTACCTTTGTAAATGGCTTGTATACGACAGAGAGCAAGCGGATTGACCTGTAATTCTTCAAGTCCTTGTCATCTTCTTTCTTATGTATTAAGATGATGTTAGCACTGTTCCAAGATTCTGGCACTCTTCCCGTCAGGATACACCTAGTAAACAGAGTGGCTAGTTTTTCTAACACAATCTGTCCTCCATCTTTCAGCAGATCCGATGTTACCTGATCCTCACCAGCAGCTTTGCCTCTTTGCATGCTCTCTAAGGCTTTTTTTGACTTGTTTTATCGTTACTGGTGGGGTTCCATCTGGGTTACTGCTAGTTCTTATAGTAAGTTCATGGTACTCCCGGCTACTATACAGATCTTTGTAAAACTCCTCCGCTGTTGTAACTATCTTATTCATATTGTTAGTTATTTTGCCTTCCCTGTTTCTTGGTGCATACATCTCATTTTTGCCCATCCCAAGTTTTCTCTTGACTTCTTTGACACTCCTTCCGTTCTTGACGCTCCCTCCACTCCCGCCATATATGTATACGTATCTATATATATGAAAACACTAAAAAGAAAAAAAAATCAGAAAAAAAGACTCCGGCATGGTATCGAACGTGGGACCTCCACGTCGTGAATACAAGGCGTTAAACTCTAAGCCACCGAGAGGTTAAATTTTCTTATTTGCCTTGCATATCAAGACTCTTCAGATTTTTCATATATACATATTGGTAAAAATAATGTGCGTCACGAAATATACCCACAATATTTATTGAAGTACTGTCAGCTCTTCGCTGACTATTGATGAATACTTGGGCATTTGTAACAATGGCTCAATGCGCACAATCCAGTCTGGTACATCCTCTTGGCCTTTCACCACTTCAAGAAGATGGCACACAGATTCGCAAAAATATTGGCGCACAGATAGCACTTCTACATTCACGTTTTCAAAGGCACATCGGGTTTTCCATATACTATGCAGCCCCAGAAGCATAAGGTACGCCTGCCTCGTTTTTAACCGAAAGAAATCGGATGCCATGTGGACTGCACGGTAATTCTTTTTTCAAGGTTCTCTGCAATATGTCCCAAAAAAAGACCCCGCTCCACCGAGAAGCACCTCCTGCAACCTTCAAACACCAAGCTATTTGTATCTACAACTTACCGCTATTGGCGGGCATCTCGGGGGGAGAGAGGGTCTATTGTGTTTTCAACATTGTCAGCAAAATGGCGCAGTGAGCGCATGGCGGCTCTCATCTCTCACGCGTACTTTGGCCCGCGTAGAGAAGAAGGGGGTGTACGCTCAATCGCGCGCCCTTATTTTGCATTGGGAATAATCGTACGTCTTGACTAGCCTTCGAATATCATCGGAACGATTTTGTTGTAGTTACCGGGCTCACAATGGTCCCTGCAATCGTTGCACAGCCTCCGTTTGCTAAAAGGGCGTGCTTTTGAGACATAGCCAAGTAACACCTGAGGCGCTTATTCGCGCTAATCTGTACCTGTGAGTACGTTTCGTGCGTCCTTTGTGCGTGAGAACTTTTCTATCTGCTAGTCCTTCTGCGCGTGACCTTCTAATTTGTTGCTATCGCGTTCATTGCTTCGCCTTTGCGGCAAAGCTTTGACGTTTTTTTCTAATAGCACGATCAAATCTATCATTGCATGTCACGAACGGCATGGTGTTCTATTGGCTAGGCATCACGTTGTGGTAAAGATTACGACTGAACAGTTATTGCCACTCTTGAGGCCCCGCTGCTGTGGTCTAGTGGCTAAGGTGCTCGTCTGCTGATCTGCAGGTCACGGGATTGAATCCCGGCTGCGGCGGCTGCGTTTTCAATGGACGCGAAAATGCTGTAGGCCCGTGTGCTCAGACTTGGGTGCATGTTAAAAAACCACAGGTGGTCGAAATTTCTGAAGCCCTCCACTACGGCGTCTCTGATAATCGTGGGGTAGTTTTTGGACGTAAGTAAACCGCGCATATCAATCAAATCACTGCTCTTGAGGCAGAAGCAGGTAGGCGCAGATGCCAAAAAGCGCGTCGCGTTATAAAGTGAAACGCAAAAATTATACCCGGTGTTTAAAGTTATACTTTTGTGTTTGACTGTAATTTGCTTTTTCTCATGCTACACAAACGCCGTTCACAAAATGACGTGTGCTGATTCCTCACGCAGTCACATTCCTTTCTTCGAGGACTTCGACTGGAACCGGCTTCGTACAAGCAGCAGCCTTTGCAATGTCCCTGCCGTGTACGAACTCATGCAGATATCGCCGCCCTCAGATTCAACTACCAACGTGGCTCAACACAGCACACTAAACCTGTGTACGTGGGTAGTATTTAACTAAGACCTCCAATAGAAAAAGTGGGGAAGGGCTGACTCTACAATAGTTTTGATACTGTAATACCTAGATGCGTGTCTATGGGTATGCCTTAAAGGGACACTAAAAAGGAACAATGATTTGGTTTGTATTGACAAACTGTACTCTGAAAACTTGAAGACCTTATGTATCGCTATCAATACTTCATTCTTAGCGGAGAGTATGAAGATTTCAATTTCATTTTTAAATTTCGCGCCAAAATTTCCGCACGTAACTTTTAAAATTTTGAAATTTTTTTCGTGTTTTTGTCACATTAGCTCGATGAAACATTTTAAAACTTCGTATGCTAATTCTATAGCACCCACGGATGAAAATGTACTTCTTTTTTGTTCATTGGAACGTACGACCCAGCAGGCTCGTTCGAAATTTCTTCCACGCGTGTCATAACGCGTGTCAACATGTGAGCACTGTAAATTGACAGCAAGGCACAGCTTTGAAGAGCAGTCCATGTGGCTCCTTAGAGCCGACCAGTCCAATAGCACCGGAGTAAATATCCAGGTTTTAAATCGGTACTCTGTAAAAAGGAGTGTCAGACTCGGATACTGATGAAATGACCTTCGGAAATGTACTCAAAAATAACCATACTCGTTCAAGCAATACGGCATACGGCAAGCACTTTTCTGCTTAGTGTAAGACGGGCACGTCTGAGAACTGTCATTTATTATTTGTCATTGCGCAGCACCTGGAGCGACGACTTCGACTAAAAAGCGCAAGCTAATGAGGATCGACGAGCTCAGTGACATGGACAGCTCGCTGCAGAAGCCACTCTTTACTTACGCCTCGTCAGGCTTCAAGCGGCTCCTCTCCATGGTGAATATTGTAAAGTACACGCGCTACAGCTCGCTGTGTTGTGTGTGTGTCCTATTTGTGTGCCTTCACATTGATCCGGTACTTAACCTCGAGTACGTTCTTATCGCGAATGCGTGTGCATACGTGTGTGGATTATGCGCCCATATTTCCGTGAAAAATGACAAATGATTTTAGTTATGGTCTCATGAAAGCCTACTATTTAATCTCGGTGTCGTGATCTAGTTCACTGAACAACAACTTCAATTGACCCAACTGACAATGTTTCTTACCTATACAGTGCACACAGCGGCATATCCCCAAATAGCTAACTGCGCGCAAGCGAACTTCCCCGGAACTTGCACAGCCGGCGTTACCTAACTCTGCAGAGGGGCCCTGCAGCCCTTATTTAAGCATGGCTAGAAAACTTTCCGATCCGTAGTCGAGACTTCTGAGAAGACGCGAGCCATGCATTATAGCGCAGTATAGAGTTTAGAGTTTACGGCCAATTCTCAGCGAAAAATAGTTCTCGCATGTGTTCCCGCGGAATACATGTGCTAAGCCTGTATTCGGCGGATAGATCTTCATCGCCGGCGTGCCGAAGATGCGGCGATGACGAAAAGCTCAAGCATATTATTGGCTCTTGCGCTGACCTGGTCACAGAGCGTTGCGTGCTAGTGAGCCGTTAGAGCCTGCTCGGTCTGCCTTCGGCAACAGCGAAAGACATCCCTTTTTTGCGCGATTGAAGATGGAAGCCGTCGGAGCATTTCTCGCGTTTTTGCGTCTGCGGAGCTCACGGCTTTTTAGACGAACGCTTTCACTTTGTTCTACTGACTGTAATGACGAGATGTTCTCTTATCATGAATTTCAATGTTTATTTCTCTCCTCTCTTCTTCCTATCATTTTTATTTCTCCCTCCCCAATCCCTAAAGGCATTGAGCAGGGCTCCGTAACGGGAGGCAGAAAACTGCGTCCTTTCAAAGACAATAGTATATCTTGGGGACCTTCGATGCCAAAATTTTGATCTGTCTGTCTTTATGTCTGTCTATCTGAGTGTACATTTGTCTGTTTGTCAGCGGTAACAAAGGCCTAAATGGTGCCAAACAATGTCTCAAACGGCCAACCCCATCCGCAGTGCCCACCAATATTGCTCAAGTTTGAGCGTTAATACTTGTGCGATTGTCTATTAAAAATCAATTAAGGCGCATATCTGAGGCACTATAACAAACGCCGATATTTTGTATATGTGTCTATATACTATATAAGGCACACATAAGTAATTCTAAGGACCGTGGTGTTTAGCACAGTGCGCTGATAATGCAACTCGATGCTCCAACGCTTTGCTGAGACGACAGGGTGGTGGCACCTGCCCGTCGCTTTGCGTTCTACACCTTATCGCCTCCGAGACAGGCGCGCATCTTTTTCTATGAGCGCGCACGGCTTCCTTCGTTTTCTAAGATAACTGCTAGATAGCGCTCGTGTCTAACGTGCCTAAAAGTGCTCGTTCGCCTTCGCTGCACGGATCGAGACTCTAACGCAGCGTTTCCAGAATACAATTAACCAATTTTCTCGCACAGAACATCCAATAAACGTTTTGTTCACTACCTCCACACGAAAGAATATCGTCTTAAGGCGACATTTGCAGTGAAACATGCAGATACGGGGTCATTTTTAAATGCAAAGCATTTCTTAGCGAACTTCAGGCGACTTTGAGCGTATCTATCTATCTAGCCGCCTAAAACTTTTAGTTCTTCTGGCTGTTTCGATAACTTTATCGATACCAAACTTGGTATGACGTAACCTTACTGTATGAAGAACATATTTGACTAGTCGTAACATGAAAATCACGATATGAATGCCATGAATGTCATAATTTACATTTCATGGTTCTGCAGCTCTTGCGGTGGTTTCGTTCACATGGCATGTTGCAAAAGTGGTATGGTATGGCATGATTGCATGGCGAACACAAGCGACAGACCCGAACATGAAAATCATGATATGCGTGTCGTGTAACAGACATGAATACATGCCGCGCTCATGATGCGCTCGCGGCTGATTCGCTAGCTTCACATGTACCAAACATGGTATTACGTGACGCGAACAGACGACATAGGTAAATGACACATCCCAACAGGATATCACGAAATGCGTGTCATGTAACCACATGACTACATGCCCCATTGATAATACAGTCGCGGCCCTTTCGCTTGCTTCACATATGCCAAATTTGGTATTACGTGACGCCAGTTTGGTATTACGTGACGCTGACGAAGGTATGTGACTAGTGCAAACATGATAATCATGAGATGTGTGTCATGTGAGAACATCACTACATGCCACAGTAAAGGTGCCAATACATTTTGACATGACGCAGTGCGTGTGCTCGCCGACGTTCATTTCATTGCGTCACGCCGGCGCTGCCACACCAGGCACCGGTCCTGCCATGTACTCGCAGGCGCACGCCGTGCTGCGTTGCTTTGACGCATGCACGTTTTAGTGCGTTCGGCGTCCCTCCGTCACGAAAAGAGAGAGACGCAGTGTTGTCTGGGTAACGCATCGTTGCGAAATTCCGAAATGAAGCATGTCGCATTTCACGCCGGTTGCCGTCGTGCCGCGCCGACGGACGCTGGTCGGGCTATAGAGTGCTCGTGTTTTGCTAACGTAACGTCACTGCGCCTATAGCGTGCGCGCGCATCACCGCTACATTGGAGTATATTGGTCCCTTCACGATGCGCTCACGGCCGTTTTGCTAGCTCCACATATACCCAATTTGGTGTAACGTGACGTCAATGAATCACAAAAATATACGACTGGTGCGATGCAGGATAATCCAGGCACGTGTGTCATGTAAGAACATGACCATATACCACGCTCATAGCGTGCTCGAGGCCGTTTCGCTAGCTCCACATGTAATAAACTCAGTTTGACGTGACCTGAGTAGATGACGATTGTTAACGACACGTCCAAACATGATAATCATGGCACGGAAGTCATGCACAGCATCATTTACCTGCACCTCATAACGTTGTGCTGATTTTAAAATGACATATCAACATTCCTCAATCGTGCTTCGCATATCATCGATTCTCACTGCACGTGTGATCTGCCATTTTTTTATTATGATCATTTTGTATTGTGCGGACATCTTTAGCAGCAAAAAATTGTGTGACTTTATGCAATAATAATTGAAGAAAATCGAGCTGACGTTTCGAAAAGTGAATTGTTCGACAAAAGTTTCGGTTGGTGCACTTGTCGAAATGTCACCATGAGCATACATTCCTTGTTTACGAATTTTTTCTTCTGAAGCTTCTATGTTCCGGTTTGTGTAAGCAACATGCCATGCCGTCATAGTGTGCGTTGGCATATTTTTATACTCTGGCTATAGATAGCTGGTGCCGCTTCTATCTACTGAACCCGTATAGCCCGTGCATTTTAAGCTCAGTCCATCTGTATTCAGCGTTTAGCATGCAACACGGCGGGCGTTACCTGTATGATGCAGCGTCAGCTTTGCAATGAAACCATCTGGCGTCCAAAACACAAAACGTTACAAGGACAAAGTTTACTTATTGAACTGTACATTCCTGTAGAAATATATGCAATATTTAGCGCACACGTACACCTAATAAAATTTATAAATCCCGTTTTTATGTGAATCTTGAAACTTCAGGTGAGAGAGAGTGAAGATCCCGTGTCCGTGAATGAATCTTTCATGGGCGAGTCGAACGTGTCGTCGTCAGAAATCGACTACCAGAAGACGACGGATGCGGAATCCAACTACGGCTTTACCGGCTTTTCGAAAAGTAAGCACGTACAACAAGATATTCCAAATTAGTCATGAAGGATGCACGCCAGCCAGTGTCACCAACACGTCCGACAGCTAGACATATATGAGCTGTATTTGATGAATTTGTTCTGGCCAAGTTTTGTATGTAGAATCTCTGATTCAAACGTGTGTTACAAGGATAGTGATGCGGGCTTGTACTTTTTTAAAAACAATAGTCTTTCTTGGGGACCTTCGACACAAAAATTTTGATCTGTCTGTCTGTCTGTCTGTCTGTCTGTCTGTCTGTCTGTCTGTCTGTCTGTACGTTTGTCTGTTTGTCCACTCTTAACGGCATAGGGCACTTGAAATGGCTGACCCCATCCTCAGCGCCCACCAATGTTGCTCGTGGTTTAGCGCTCATACTTGTGGAATTATCAATTTAAAAGCAATTATTGCGTATGTCTGGGGCACAATAACAACACGTTTCTATTCTGCACTGTGCGTAGTTTCAATAGAAAAGTCATACATAAGTAATTTCAAGGACCGTAGCGCTTTTCACGCTGTGCTGATCATGCAACGCTTGCACGAAAAGGCGAGTGCTTCCAATGCTTTGCTAAGACGATATGGTGGTTGCACCGACTCATCACCTTGTGTTTTATACCTTATCACCTCTGAGACGAGCGCGCACAACCATCTCAGAGCCACGCGCTTTGTTTTCTAAGAAACCTGCCAGATGGCGCTCATGTCTTACTTGATGCGGTCGTTCGGCTCTGCTGCACGCTCGAGGCACACTAACGCAGCGCCTTCAAATATCATTCACCGATTTTCTTGCGCAGAACATCAAATAAATGTTTTGTTCACTCTCTCCACACGTCAAGACTATCGTCTTTCGACGACATTTGCAGATTAACATGCAGATACGGGGCCAATTTTTCCTTAGTGCTTGCCTTTTCGTGCCTATATCCAAGAATCATATTTGACAGCCCACAAAGTTGCTTGTACAGGGTTTCTTTGAGACTGCTGTCTGCGGTTCTTGTCCTTAGCTGGATTGCAGGCGCATTATGCTTCCTTGAGAAGTGCGAAAAGAACCCTTTATGTAACGAAGAAGCTTGTCAAAGATTATTGCCTTGCAAGTTACACGTAACTATCGAGAATTTCGCAAGGCGCATTCACATCGAGGGTAAAGGTAAAGCGCCGGTTTCGAGTAAGAATATTAGTGACAAAATACACTGGCGTACCTGTAACTCATGTTCATCAATGCCTTAATTGACTATTCAATATTTTTATTTTTGAAGAAAGAGGTGGGTAACAACAGGGGCATAAGCAGAAACTAATTTCGGGGTGTGCACCTACTTGGTTTTTCTTTTTTTTTTGGGGGGGGGGGCACCACCATAAAATAATCATTTATTGCACTGTATGCCACAGCGAAAACAATATGGGAGAGGGAGGAAGAGGGGCTTGGTGTCCCACCCTCTGGCTATGCCACCATCAGGTATAAATAGATCATTTTTCCTACGAGCTTGACACCGCATATTTGGAAGTATGGGCCACAGTGGTAATTCACTGAAAAATTACCTGTATTGCAAGCTCACCGACCACAATCCATAAATCTTCATTATTAACCATTAAAAATGTATTTAACGAGAAAATATTGTTTACTTAGCTGATTACGCCTTTGAATTCCCGCGATAGCGATCGCACTGCATTGCTCAATTGCCTCTTGGTATTGTACGATTCCCAAAAGATGATTTTTAAACATTTTGCATATTCGAGAGAACAACGTCCTCTTGACGCGGGTCGCCCCGCCGCGGTGGTCTAGTGGCTAAGGTACTCGGCTGCTGACCCGCAGGTCGCGGGTTCAAATCCCGGCTGCGGCGGCTGCATTTCCGATGGAGGCGGAAATGTCGTAGGCCCGTGTACTCAGATTTGGGTGAGCGTTAAAGAAGCCCAGGTGGTCAAAGTTTCCGGAGCCCTCCACTACGGCGTCTCTCATAATTATATGTTGGTTTTAAGACGTTAGACCCCACAAATCAATCAATCAATCTTGACGCGGGTCGCCTCAAAGATTCATTTTCAATGTCGACGCTTAGTAAAATATAGAAATTTCATGTTTTTTCTTCTTGTAGCGGACACGTTCAGCCGAAACCGAAGGGCAACCGAAAAGCTTGACGTCATACTATTCCGCAAGAAGAGCTTCGGGAGATTCTGGAGCTTCGGAGTCAACCTGGAAGCCGTGACAGGAGAAGGAGGGAGAAACTTCTATGTTGTGGAGGTGAGCCTTACCAGTGTCTCACGTCCAGTGTCACTGCTTTTTGACAAAGTGCTCTGCATACGCTGCTGTGCTTACTCTACAGCGAAGTACTGAATGTGAAATACCAGTTTCCGGACGTGATTAAGAAGAGAGATGCTATGACCTGTGTCACGGGGACCGGGAGTTTGTCTACAAATACAGAAACTGTGGCAAATATAGGAAGTTCGTATGTCATTCCACAGTTTTATCACTCTATATTCGATGGGTACCACCATTTCAAAGGTTGCTGTAAACTCATTTTACATAGCAGCTACAGAAGGAGAAAGAGCCATACTTGCCTCACTCAGCAAATCATTGGTAAACATCCTAGACAAGGTAACTACTACTTTAATTAGCTGTGCGTGTGTGATACAAGTTTTTGTAGAAACATTTGGCAGATAACACTCATTCTAGGAGTCAATGTCATGCGAAACAGTAGTTGATTAGGGACCTATATTACTTTTTAATGCAATGCCTTAAAGAGCTCCTCACAAATGGCAGGCGTCGATGTCGTTGATTTTGAGAGAAAAATCATCTTGTGAATGACCTGAATATCGAGAAAGGTGCAAATGAAGGAATAAAAACTTTCCGTTCGAAGAGAGAATCAAACCCAGGCCATACGCGTGACAAGCAGATGTTCTAGCACAGTGTCACGTCATTTCTTGAAATTTCACTAAAAAAGAAATAAAATTGGCCGCGTGTGTTTTTGTATTTATGACCTGCCTCTTGCACCCGTCCTTCTTAGACCAGTTTTTGGTCTGCAGTATCCAATAAATAAATAAAATGATAAAATTATGAATATCTGCATGTTTGACTACAAAGGTCATCTAAAGACGATGGTATTCCGTCTGAAGAGGCTGAATAACGCGTCTACTAGGTGTTCGGCGGCAAAAAATCAGTTAATGGGATAGTGGAGGTGCTTCGTGTGAATTGATTGCCATCTGGCAGTAAGCTTGGAAAACGAAAGGATCTCTACATGACCTCCGATAGCGTGCCATCTCGGAGGCCAATGTTTCTAGATTGCTGATACACGCGCAAGTGGCAGACTGTTTGGTTCTAGCAAATTATAGGAAACACCCGTCTTTTCGAGCATAGCGTCGCATCGTCAACGAAGCGTATGTGACACTGGGTGACAGAATCCTACAATCGCGCCAGGTCTACAAGCAAATGATACGTGGAACGTTCTTTCTGAAGAAAAAAAAATGTTACCGGAGAGCAACGCATGGACAAAGAAAGAGCTTGGGGCTGGCACGAACTTCCAACTGTGTTTATGGAAGGAACTTACGTACCGTCGGCGTCAAAGAAACACGAATGCGGCAAGCATTCCCTAATGGCATCACAATGAACAGGCGCGCAGTGCTGTCAAAGCGAATGCGCGCACACGTCAGTGGTGATGACTGAAGTAACGCGGGCAAGGCTTTCCGCTGTTTGAGTTTCAATTGACGCCAATGGTGCCTAATATGTCACACAGGATCAGGAAAAGAGATGACACTCACAATAATTGAACCGAAAACTAAAAGTCAGCAGTAAAGAATATCTAGAAACATTACATTACAAGAACGCTATACCTATATTTGGTCTTATCACGCATGTTTAACAGATTAAAAATTGGATACCTCCAGAGGAAGGAAACAAACACATAGACAAAGGAACAAAAATATTTCCACATTTCCAAGGCAATAACTTTGGTTTTAGTAGAATAGAAACTGGGAAAAACATCGTTCAGACTTTCCCTTTTATGTGAGTGGTGCTTCATTATAGATGACAGGCAAAATATTCTCAGCATAGCCAAACAGAAAAAAAATGTTTGTTTTTCTCAAGTAAGAGCAGCTGTGCTCAGCCAGACTTACTCATCAAAATTTCGCTCAAGCAGACTCACTCATACTCGGAATCACGGAAAAATTTCTCAGCCGTGCTCCTTCGGACTCAAACTCGTGTAAATATAACTCACCCGGTATCAGTCGAAGTCTCACTGCTAGATCTGTGTCTGAATGAGTATGGCTCGACTGATAAGTGAGTCTTCCGATCTAGGCTTAAAAATAACGTGGAGCTTGAGCACTTACGGCTAGCATTACTGAATACTAATTGGCAGGCAATTTACCGTGGTGCCTGAAGGGAAAGGGTAAATCATTGTATTCTTATCATGCGGGCTGATATCTAGTATAAGGTAACAAAGGAACTCCAGAGCCACCAAGCGGCATTTGATAGAACAAGAATTGGTAGGCATAATACTAAGAGATAAGAAAAGTACAGAGTACATTAGATAACAACCAGAACTTACCGACATTCCAGCTGACATAAAATAAAAGTTTACCTAAACACGCATTGTGGGCTGATAACCGATGGTCGGTTAGAGCCATGGTATAGAATAAAAAAATCAAAGAAATAGCCGACATAAAAAAATTAAGTTTGCACGCATAAGAAGGAATCGGTTCGCATAAAAAGAAAAAAAATGAAGATAATATATTCCTCATCTTCACGGGGAAGCTTAATCTGGGACGGCTCGGTGCTCTCCTGCAGTAGAGCGCCCCGCCGCGGTGGTTCTAGTGGTGGGGGAGAGCCGGTACTTCAGCGGAATAGCTTGGGGTCGGTGGCAACCAGTACACTTTTCGTCTGCTCGCGGCATGTCCTCCATGGCTCGCGGACAGCTGCGTTACTGGTCGGCATCATCTACGCTTGAGCATTGTTTACTTAGTTTCCGGAGACTTTGTTCTCAGGTGATTAAATATGCAGAAATCACTTTTGGTGGTTCGGGAAATGTCGCCGCCGTCGCTTAACACGCGAGATTCTTAGCCGTCATGGTGGTGAAATATTCCAACTTCTGCAACCGGCGACGTGCCGCTTCTAAAAAAAAAGGCGGGAGACACGTTTAGAAGTTCTACAAGTGGGGAATAATGTAGTTGAAAGAATATCCTGCTAGCAACTCCCTTTTCTCCTGAAAGAATAACACTACTCGTTCATTTGTCACAACACGACAGACATCGCAGCCAAGCTTCGCTTCTTGCGGGCATCCATGTTGAATACTCTCAAACCGGTCTGCTGCCAGCGGGCGCAGGTGAGCGCCGAATCTGCTGTCGAGGGTAATCCGGCTGTTTTCTCCTAGGACACCGTCCGTCGTGTGGATGCGCCTGCAGGCGGACCATCCGCGGATTAGCTGTCCGCGTCCACGACAAATCCGGATTTGGTCTGTCGTCTGAATGCACCATAACCAATTTTTCTCAACAGACTGTCGGGACAGCTTATAGCTATCCCATAGAGCGAATAGTACTCTAAAGCGTTCACAATTAGTTCTAAGCACATTTGTCCTAAGTGAGCATGAAGAGTTGGCTGAAAATGACTGAGATGACGAGGGGGTGATAACCCACCCCGTGGAGCACATAATGCCTGCGTACTCGTCGAGTTGCGTATATCGATTGAAATAAGCACAGTCTCAAGGTCGATACCTCGGTGCTTCGATGTCAGTGTCATTAGACTTCCAACATCACCGTCGTTTGTTTCGCAGAGTGTGAAGCGAGGCAGCCCTGCTCAGAGGTCCCAGATTCTGGTCGGTGATGTGGTGGTCGCCGTCAACGGCACCAAGCTGGCCGGTCTGCCGCTCAACATTGTTCGGAAGATCATGAACTCTTCCGGGGACCAGCTCGTACTCACTGTCCTGACTTCGAGTCCGTACCGAATCATAAACACCAGGTGTGTTATTAGCAGACGCTGTTCATCATCACTTTCTCCTAGAAAAATTTCACAAAATGGCACTGACAAGTGATTATTAAAAAACTGGGGTTCAATTCAAACCTAATGAGGAACCAAATGAGCGTTTTTATAATCGTCAAACAAAATTGGGTGGAATCAAGTGCTTGAAGACCAGCTTGACAGTTGGCGCATTCTTCAGTGCAGTATGACGCATGCTCTTTCAAAACGAAAAATGTGCCACTGTCGTCGCAGGAGGCGCTGGCTATGCGCACATGAAGAAAAGAAAACGACGAATGAAATACTATAGCGCCCACTCGTGAAGTGGTGTTGCTCCATGTTTGCACCATAGGCAGTACGTGTAAGGTTCTTCACGCAAACTGCTCATCGCTTATTTTTTTCTCAAGCAGACCGTAACACATTTTCAAGACATCTAGATGTGACGGCACGTGTTTTCAGACCTGTAGTTCTGACAATTGTAGCTGTGTAAACCATCGAGTAAACGAAAGATGAAAAAAAAGAACGTCTTTGTTTGAGAAATACTCTACATGTTGATTAATATTTTCAGCAGGCTGCAATGTAAGCTCGGAACACTCGTCGATATATTATACAGGTGCCACTTTGTACAATTCATGGGTATTTCGTCTTTCAAGACACTATGTGGTTCAGTGTTTACCATTATAAATTTACGTCCTCACGGCACCAGTATTTCGGACCCATGTCAGTTTTGGCATAAGTTGTGTGCAGTGGCGCTGTCGTCAGTGGGAATGGCTGATTGCTGTGTAAAGCCAACGCACGAAACACGGATTGCTGTGCGAATTCACAGAATAGGCAAATTGATTCAACAGAAACATTGCACCTATACAACCATTCTATTTAACTGCCAGATGGACATTTCAAGGTGTCTCGCCGTTCTAAAATTGCCTTATAAAGCAAATGTAAATAATGAAAATATGCTATACTTTGACTAATAGCTAAACCCTCACATGGTGTGTGCTCTGCATTATTAGATAAGACAAATTACTGAGTAGTACATGATCCCTGTTCTGCAGGGACACTAACACTACTAGGGACGTTGCAAGCGACCTTTGTCGACAAAACTGTAGTAGGGTCTATATTGTCGCGGTACAACGTGAACAAAGCACAGATACGCCTTGAGACAGCGAAAGCAGCGTGTTCTGAACAGCTGAGCCGCAAGATTGTCCTCATTCGTTTTCGAATTAAGCCAGAGGCCCACTACCTAGTGTCCTGCCAAATCCTCCCATCGTCGTTTTGGTTTACATGTAGACACGGGTCATTTGCCTCCCTATCAAAGAGCATCGACCCGATGCGAAGTCAATAATGCAGTTCTTTTTTCAAGAAAGTCTCACGCAATCACTCGCTGACGTAAGGCTTCATGCGCACTACGTGAACGAGTTCAGAATGGTGCTGGCGACGCTTGGTACTACACGAACTGTCGGGAACAACTTCGTAAGTGACCTCACTCAGTTGTCGCAGCACTCGGTATGGCCCAAAGTATCTTCTTAAAAGCTTTTCGGAAAGTCCTCGTTTCCGTACGGGTGTCCAAACCCAGACTTTGTCGCCAGTTTGATAGACTGACTGTTCTGCGGTGAGCGTTGTAGCGGTCTGCATCGTACTCTTGATGCTGGCGGATCCGTAAACGTGCAAGTTGCCTAGCTTCTTCCGCGCGTTCCGTAAACGTGTCGGCGTCTGGGTCGATGTCGTCACCTTCGTGCGGTAGCATCGCATCTAACATAGTTCGTACTTCTCAGCCCATGAACGAGGCTGAATGGGGTCATGCGGGTCGTTTCTTGTTTGGCCGTGTTGTACGCAAACATTATGTATGGCAAAATTGCATCCCAAATTTGGTGCTCAACGTCTACGAACATCGAAAGCATGTCTTCAATGGTTTTGTTTAGACGCTCTGTCAGCCCGTTCTTTTGTGGGTGGTAGGCGGTGGTCTTACGATGCGTTGTTTCACTCAGCATCAGGACGTGATCTAAACGAGTTGCCGTAAATGCGGTTCCTCTGTCTGTGATCACGACGGTTGGTGCACCATGCCTCAGTACACTATTCTCGATGAAAAATATTGCCACCTCCGCTGCTGTACCTCTCTGGATAGCCTTTGTCTCGGCATAACGGGTCAGATAATCTGTCGCGACGATAACCCAGCGGTTCCCTGCAGTAGAAGTAGGTAGTGGGCCCAAAATGTCCATGCCAATCTGGTAGAATGGAGCTGTTGGAACCTGTACGGGTTGCTGGAGGCCAGCTGGTTTATTCGGTGGTGACTTGCGGCACTGGCAGGCGAGACAGGTACGAACATGGTGCTTCATGGCTGTGGTTAGTCTCGACCAGTAATACCTTTGCAGTATTCTGGCCAACGTCCTCGTGTAATCCAAATGGCCAGAGGTCACCTCGTTGTGGCATGCTTTGAGTATTTCGGTGTGAAGGGCTGCTGGGATGACGACCAGATAGGCGGATCCCGTCGACGAAAAGTTTTTTTGTAGAGTACTCCATCCCGTAAACAAAACGATGACAGCACTCTTGCGAAAATTCTCGGTGCCTTCCGAGATCTGCCGTCCAAGTAGTTAATTAAGCCAAGCAATTCAGCGTCATCCTGTTGTTGCTGCGCAATTGTGGTCGTGACGAGGACACCGATAAATGTCGTTTCCTCATCTTCGGGTAGGGTTGCCGACTCAATGGGTGAGCGGGACAGACAGTCAGCATCCATATGTCGCTTTGCTGACTTGTGTATGACTACCATATCGAACTCTTGCAGTCTGAGACTCCAACGCGCTAATCGCCCTGTAGGGTCTTTAAGGCTTGTTAACCAACACAGTGAGTGGTGGTCGCTAATTACTTTAAATGGGTGGCCATATAAATACGGGCGAAATTTTGTAACCGCCCATACCACGGCGAGACATTCCTTCTCGGTCGTGGAGTAATTGGCCTCAGCACGTGTTAACGTTCTACTTGCGTAAGCGATTACCCTTTCTGCGCCTTCTTGCTGCTGCACAAGCACCGCTCCCAGACCGACATTGCTAGCATCGGTATGGAGCATCGTAGGGGCTCTCTCGTCAAAGTGGGAGAGGACTGGAGGTGTTTGTAGTCGCTGACGAAGATCGTTAAAAGCCGCTTCCTCTTCGTTCTTCCACACAAAAGGGACGTCTTCTCTCGTGTAGGCGAGTTAATGGTGATGCTATGCGTGCGAAGTCCGCGATAAATCGTCGATAGTATGCACAGAGGCCAAGAAAGCGTCTGACAGCCTTTTTATCGGTTGGCACAGGAACTGTGCAACGGTTGCGACTTTCTCAGGATCGGGACGAACACCTGCATGACTGACGACTGTGACCAAGAAATTGCAGCTCTTTCTAGCAAAAGTGGCACTTCTCAGGCTTCAACGTCAAGCACACGGACCGTATGGCTCGTAAGACCACTTCAAGCCTTTCAAGGTGCTCGTCAAACGTTGCGGAGAACACTATGACATCGTCCAGATATACTAAGCAGGTTTTCCACTTCAACCCGGTAAGCACGGTATCCATGAGTCTTTGAAAGGTAGCAGGCGCTGAACACAAACCGAATGGCAAGACCTTAAATTCATATAACCCATCTGGTGTCACAAAAGCGCTCTTCTCGCGGTCTCTCGGGTCCACCTCGATTTGCCAATATCCACTGCGCAAGTCCATTGAAGAGAAGTATCGAGCATGTTGAAGTCTGTCAAGAGAGTCATCTATACGAGGTAGTGGATATACGTCTTTCTTGGTCACCTGATTTAGCTTCCGGTAATCCACACAGAAGCGCAGGCTTCCGTCCTTTTTCTTAACAAGGACCACAGGCGACGCCCAGGGGCTCTGTGAAGGCTGAATGACGTCATCTTCAAGCATTCTGTCTACCTGCTGTTGTATCGCTTCATGGTCTTTTGGAGCCACGCGATAAGGGTTCTGATGAATAGGTCTCGCCATTTCCTCGGTAATTATTCGATGCTTAGGTTAGAGGCGTGCGGCCAACTCTTGATGTTGTCGAAAAGCAATCTTGGTGTTCGGCCAATAGCTCAAGGAGTCTGCGTCGCTCGTCTTCCGGCAAAGTAATGCTAAGGTCTAGAACAGGCGCTGAATCGAGATTTAGTGCATCGTCGACTACCGCCAAGCAGCCTTCGGCATCTATGACATCGTCGAAGTAAGCGACAGCCAGTGCCTTTTGGAAGGTGCCGGCGCTCAGCGCTAAAATTGGTCAGCAGTAGGTCCGTGCGTCCAGCAGCAACTCTTACGATACCTCGTGTGACACAAATACCATGGGTGAAGAGAAGCGAGCTTATTTGGTCTGCAACTCACTTCAGCGTCAAACTGGACAGTGGGGGGCCACCGAAACAAGCGCGCATGACCTAGGAGGGAGGACCACGTCGTCATCACTAAGACGCAGTTGGTTTGCTCGCGCCTCTGGAAAATCGGGTAAGCCCGTTCTGCTGCAAAAAGTAATCAAACTCATTGGGATGTCAATGACGGCGCCATATTCTCGTAAAAACTCCATGCCAAGGATTACATCTATGCAGCATGCGGCGATAATTACGAACGACGCAGTGAAAGGAGAACTTCTGATGCCAATTCTTGCTGTACATCTTCCGGAGGGCATCAATAACTGGCCCCCTTCCGTTCTTATATGAGGGCCCGTCCAGGGCGTTTACGCTTTTCTGAGGCTGTCGGCGAGGTCCTGACTGATAATAGAGAAGTCGGCACCGGGGTCGACTAAAGCTGTCACTTGCTGGCCGTCAAGAAGAATACTTAGGTCGGCAGTCACAATTTCATCGCTTTCACGGCTTATCGGCTGTACGACGTCATGCAGTGGGGGCTTTTTTCGTCATCCTCATGGCCTGCAACCTTGCCTCCGGAGGTCGCCGCCCTCAGTTTTCCCCGGCGCGGGCTAGGTGACCTCTTTTAATAAGGTCCGCATAGGTGCGGCGGTGCGACAAAGGAGAACGCGCGGGAAGACGGTGAGCGGGATCGGCGTCCCAGACCAGGTGGGTTAGTAGCATTGCTTCCTCTGCAGTGCTACGGCCGTCCTCAAAGTAAGAACGGGCTTCGTAGAAGGAGGTGTCGTCAGCGGCGTGAGTGTATTCGTCGTTGGCACGTCTACCGTCAAACCAAGGTCGAACAGGACGGAATGAATCACCTCGATGCCAGCAATGACGGGTAATATGGCCTACACCTCCGCAGTGTAAGCAAAGTGGACGCTGTCGACTGTGCGTCATGCATCTGTTCTTCGTGTCGGTGGACGTTTGAGCGTCTCCGCTGGCGTCGATGCCCATGGCATGGCTGTGGATGGCTGGTTGTATGGCTGTGGCATGGGTGGTTGCTGTAGTGTCTGCTCTTGCGGCGGTGACCAAAAGGGCCATTGGTGTCTGGCGGTACGGCGTCGGCGTAGCGGGTGGTGGACGTCGGAGAGCGGCAGCGTAGCTCATGGGACGCTGCTCAGCATCAAGACCAGCCGTAGACAACGCTTGGCGGATTTCGTCACGCACGACTTCAACGACGGAAGCAATGGGCCTTTCAGCAACCGGAGTCCGGAACTTCTGCAGTTCTTCGCGAACTACCTCCCTAATCAAGTCTCTCAACGAGCTTTGACTCTCAGACGTCATAGCAATAGTATTACTTTGGACATTGCTCGACATGCGGTCATATTGCCTGCAGCGTTGATGAAGAGCCCGCTCGATAGCCGTAGCTTCCTTAATAAAGTCAACCACGGTACTTGGAGGGTTGCGCAGTAGCCCGGCGAAAAGCTGTTCCTTGACACCGCGCATGAGGTAACTCAACTTAGTATCTTCCGTCATGTGCGGGTTGGCTCGACGAAAGAGACGAGTCATGTCTTCGGCAAACATTGCAAAGGTTTCATTAGGTTTTTGAAGCCGTAGCATCCAATAACAGCTGTGCACGGTCGCGTAGATCGACATTGGCGAGGGTATCGACGAACGGCTGTCGAAAGTCGGGCCAAGTTGATAGATTGGCTTCTCTATTCTCATACCAAGTACGAGCACCATCGTCAAGGTAGAAATATGCTCGAGAAAGCTTTTCCTGTGGCGGCCACTGATTTATCTTGGCAACACGCTCGTAGTGGTCAAGCCAGTCGTCAGCGTCTTCATGGGCGCCGCCACTAAAGCGATCAGGAACGAGTGGTTGATAGATGGTCACCTGAGACGGGTGCATCGGAAAGCTGCTTTGGGGCATCCTGTTGGGGGCTTGCGTTGGCCATTGGTCGAGGTGAGTGGTGCCTGGGAGGTTTCGGCGAAAGAGTGAGCTCTAGTGCGAGGCCTCGCAACCGTCGACTGAAACGATGCACAGGAGTTGCAATTGGTGAGAATGCGTTTGGACTGGATGAACGGCTCCCAGCGGGAGTGTGGAGCATCAGGCAGGGTTGCGATTTAGCACCTCCACCAGTGTCGCGGTACAACGCGAACAAAGCACAGGTACGCCTTGAGACAGCGAAAGCAGCGTGTTCTGAACAGCTGAGCCGCAAGATTGTCCTCTTCGTTTTCGAATCTAGTGTCCGCCAAATCCCCCCATCGTCGTTTTGGTTTACATGTAGACACGGGTAAATATAAATTAGCACTCTTGGTGTCTGCTGAAAAATGAAAGTGACCAGTGTTGTAATGCACCAAAATCCGTACCACGAGCGCCCTTCCTACATAACAGCCATGGACGTGCGAGTGTGTATAAATCACTTGTATTTCAGTTAACATAATTTAGACGCCCATGTATAGTAAATACCGTATTGTCGGCGTAAATATATAGGTGGTTTATCTAATACTGAATTATAAAACAGCAAATTTAATTTCTGATGTGATGCTTCCATATTACGCGATTCATATTCTTGGTGCCAGCCCTTTGAAAAACGTCTGCACATCTTCAGAATGCATGTAAACGTAAATGTCATGGTTATGCGATTTGTCGAAAAAGAGGAAAGTTGAGGAAAAAGAAATAAAGCAAAAGGATGTAAACAAATATATATCAAATAAAGAAGATCGTACACTGAATCAGAGTTGAAAAAAGAACACAAAGAAGAACATGCTGAAGAAGGTTCACGGGAGACGACGTGTCTGGCAGAGAGGGGAGGAGAAGGAGGGTGGATTGGAACGGCAAGACGAGTGGATGTGCGGTGGTCGCGGCAAGGCGTTTGCTCCAAGTCCTCTAGCAGAGCTCCAGTCAATGGCTCCAGTCTTCGCAGCAACGCACTCTGCCCTTGCGGGGCGCGACCAGGAGGGCGACCGGCTCGGCGTGGCTCGGCCCAGCGAGACCTTGCTCCTGGGGCGGCGCAGATGTTCTGCGGCTATGCTCCATGGGCCGCGCACCTGAGGACGAGCGAGACAGCCGCGGCGTGTACCTGACGCGATGGTCACCGGACACCACGGGAACGCGACCAGTGCCTCGACGATGCATCATAATAGTCATGATCGGTGAAATTTCGTTCTTCACGGACATGATGAGACTTGGACCCGGCACCCGAGCCGCCACGTCAGGGCCACCAAGCAATGTTGAAACTGTAAAATGTTTTCTTGTTTTTGGGGACATACTCAGTGTGTGCTAAGGACGTTGGTATGTATTGTGAGCTTTTTCACCCCCTATTGTGTATATAGTTTATTTTTGTCGCATAAAATTTTTTTGTTATCCGAAGTGTTCCTGTTTCGTTTTCCCTCTAAAAACCATGACAGTATACTTCTGTGCATGTAAAACAATCTACAGAAAGAGTGAACACAACAACTTGCCTATGAGCCGTTATAACTGGTGCAAACAAAGTTTTGGAAACTGCGAAAGGTTCACAGCTGCCCCCGAGCTTCTGACACGCCTACACAAGCATGTATTTTTCTTTTCCATACGTACAGGCAGGACATGAACAACATCCTGCAGTCATGTGGTCGGCAGACGCTCACGTTGGCTCTAGTGCGAGCCGGATGCCGTAAAGGCGCCTGGTATGGCTTCACAACGTTCGAGGCGAAAACGTGGGACCACCAGCAGAAGGCTTTCAGTCGTCTGCATATTGTGCAGGTACGCATCACCCGCGCTAATTTCAACTCATACCACGCGTGATGCGGCGTTACTAAAGAGATGTATGTCTGCCGCACTTAGATTACTTGTTCTTGATTACAGCTAGATATCGATATCGCAGACGCAATCCTGGTCACGATAGCTACGTTTTGATCGAGGGATGATGATGAGATGTGATATGTGGGGTTTAACGTCCCGAAACCACTATATGATTATGAGAGAGGTCGCAGTGGAGCGCTCCCGAAATTTCGACCACCTGGGGTTCTTCAACGTGCACCCAAATCTGAGCACACGGGCCTACAACATTTTTTCCTCCATCGGAAATGCAGCCGCCGCAGTCGGGACTCGATCCCGCAACCTGCGGGTCAGTAGCCGAATACCTTAGCCACTAGACCACCGTGGCGGGGCATCGAGGGTTGACGCAGAAAGCAGTCGTTCCATAGCTTTTAGTTGAGCTGAATTAAAATCTAAATATATGCCTCATACACGTGCTGCTCTGATTTGGGTGCGCGTTAAAAATACCCAGGTGGTCCGAAATTTCCTCGAGCCCTTCCACTGTGGCGTCTCTCAATCATAGAGTGAATTAGGGATGTTATACCCCTACATATTCTTACTACGATTCAAAACTTTGGGGATGCTCGAGATTAGCCTTCAATAGTGGAATAAGATAGCGTAGTCGGTCTCTATTCGTATTGTCTTCTCATTCGCCTGTCACGCTTCGCAACTCTATTGGTACAGTTTCGAAGGGCCACTTACGCCTTATTTGATCCGCGTACTGCCTCGCAGACAGCGCAAGGCCAAGCCATTATTACAAATCGCCCAGATATAATTGATCACCATTATATCATCATCAGCCAACGCACTAACAACGTGTACAACTTGGTAGACACGCGTTCTGCATTGCAAGCGCGTGGTCTCAGGGCAGTGCGTGCACCTACTCAGATGAATGGTTTGTAAATGCCGTGGCTGATGCTATAGAGAGCATTTTCAAAAGAAGGCTGCCATTTTTTCCACCGCAGCACCATCTAGCATCTGCCATGTTATGCCGCCTTGTCGGTGTGTGGGTATCTGCGGAGTGTATGTAACGTATGCGCTCTGTACACAGGGCATTGCTGTTCTTCGCGGTATCCTATCAAACTACAGCAACGCACCGCGAGCGTAAATACACTAGTAAGTTATCGCTAAGCTCTCAGCTTCAAAATGGCCGAAACAGACAGCAGTGGCAACCCACAAGACGTTCCCGCAGCACAATGCCGACAATAGACAGGATGTGAGCGGAATTTCAATGCACTCCTTAAGTAGCACGCGAATCTACGTAATTGGTTAGTAGGTACGCGCCACTACGTAATTGGTTAGCAGGTGCTGTTATGGCTTTGCCTTGTTGTTTTCTTTGAGTATGCACTAGCGTGAAATTTCTGGACGACTCTCAAAGTAATCAGGAAAATGTAAATAGAGTGTTTAAAATGACTCCAGGGCTGATTTCCCGTGATTACTTAAGTTAAACGCAACTCTGTAATCGCTTGCAGGCCATCTGGTTCCACTCAGAACGTCACAATACAAGATTTATGGAACGAAAAAAGCACATTTAAACACCGATGCCTCTGTTGATTTGTGTCGTTGTCGTAACCAAAAGCTTCTGTCTGATCGTTGCGCAGGATAACAAACTGATACATGATGGATGAGCTCGAACTTTTCCGCAGAAGACAAATAGAAAATGAAAATAACATGTTGCATATCTGGAAGCACGGCATGGCGTAAGTTTGCTTCGGAGCGAGCAACCACCTGTGGCGATAAGAGGAAAGTTCGCCCGTTTTCGGTGGCATTACTTGTTCGTTTTTTTAAAGCATCGCGAGAAGCACACGTGTTCAGGCAATAATGATTGATTGATATGTGGTGTTTAACGTCCCAAAACCACTCTATGATTATGAGAGACGCCGTAGTGGAGGGCTCCGGAAATTTAGACCACCTGGGGTTCTTTAACGTGCACCCAAATCTGAGCATTCAGGCAATAATGGTTGTGGGCTGATTACTCACAACACTCCGACTGCCATGAAAAAAATAGTGCGGTTGTCAGAGAACTGCCCCTGTTATTTTAAAGAAATTGACAAGTGAATAAATAACGTGCCGTCGGAAAAATACTAAAAGCACAATCCTGTGCCAAATAATATTTACGTCAAGCGGGTCTTTTTCCGATGCAATTTAAAAAGTGCCAATTACATAATCTCTAAACTGGACGCGCTTGGATTTCAGTAGCCGCAGGAATTGTAGCTCTTGTGGTGAGATGTTGGATTTCAGTAGCCGCAGGAATTGTAGCTCTTGTGGTGAGATGTTGGTGTTACAACAGAAGAATTCTGGGCAAAACATTTTTTTTGTATTAACCGTTAGTTTGGAAATGAGTTCAGCGGAAACCCACAAGGTGGCGAACAGGTTTAGAAGACAACCACCTGTTTGTAGCACGAAGCCACAAGGAAATCCAACAGATTTCTCATAAATTAAAGCCTCTTAGTTGCCGAAAAATTCGTCCTGGTCCGCGGTTCGAACCCGGACCGAACGCCTATCCGGGGTGGTCGCTCTGCCAATTCAGATACCAGGAAGCTAGCGATTGACAGCGCGATGACGAATTCATCTACAACTCGAAGTGCGTGACACAAGTATTGCAAATGACTTCTGGGGAAAGCCATGTGCGTCCATGTGCTTCGAGTTGTAGATGTACTCGCCCTCGCGCTGTCAATTGCTAGCTTCCTGGTCATCTGAATTGGCAGAGCTGACCGCCCCGGATAGGCGTTGGTCCCGGGTTCGAACCGCGGACCAGGACAAATTTTTGGCAACTAAGAGGCTTTAAATTCTGAGAAATCTGTCGGATTTCCTTGTGGCGTCGTGCTACAAACATGTGGTTGTCTTCTTTTTCTAACCGTGAGTTTCGACATTGCTTCTCTTGGCGGCAGATTATGAAATGTACCAGCGCCCAAGTGGTATCACAACCTGGTGTAATGAAGAAATGGTCACAAAGACCGACATGACATATAAAATGTTTTTCGAAGAAGGCCTGTAACCTGTAGTAAAGTCATTTCGAAGGAAGTTGCACCTCGCATGTCTCGGCTACCAGCCTTTTCTGCTTTCGATAGTTGTTGTGGCAGCCAAACACCGGGCTGCGGTAGCCTGTTAATCTGTTCTCATCCGATATTTTGAGCACAACTGCTTTAGTGCATCAAAAAAGCAAAAGAAAAGGGGCAACACATTGACCTCTCACATGCCGCGCATGCAAAGCGCGGCAATCCCCAGACACCAGCGGCGGTAGCCGAGCGGCGAATGGAGAGATAGAGAGGCAAAAAATGCACCAGTTTGAGGCTAAGCTCCTCCTCTTCGTGAAAGTGGTCTACAGCTATAGCTTTGTGACAAGAGCATACGAATATGCAAACTCGGAATGCTTGCTTACCGCGCATAAATCTGGTAGGCATCTCTGATCTTCCTTGTTTGTGTAAGCGGCACGAAAGGCATCGTCTTGTATGCCAATAGCTTTTTCTTCTTTTCTCAGGGGTCACTAAAATACGCTCGAAACGTATTTCAGTAGTTTCTAAAATTGGGCCGCTTGGTTACATTGCAAGAAATAGTCCGCTGTTGGCTAAGTTAGAAGCACGAAACAAACCAAAAATTTCGTTTTCTTTTTCTGTAGACACTGTTTTCGGGCGAAAGAGGCGTAGCATTTTTTATGTTCTGTCTAGCGTTACTCAAGGTTTTAGGACGGCCGAATGATAGAGGACCATTGCATAGCACGGAAAAAGTGTTTTATTATAGTTGTTAGAATTGAACGTTCCAAAACCACCATATTATTTGAGAGACGCCGTAGCAGAGGGGTCCTGAAATTTGTGTTTCTTTAATGTGCACCTAAGTCTACTAAGCACATGGGCCTCAAACATTTCAGCCTCCATGGAAAATGGGGTCGCCGCGGCCGGGATTTGATCCCGCGACCTGCGGGTAAGCAGGCAAGTGCCTTAGTCACGAGAACCGTTGCTGGGGGAAGTTTTCCAGATAAGCGGTGTGCCAAAGATGACGGTCAGTCTACCAACACGTACAAACACGCACGCACGCACGCACGCACGCACGCGCGCACTCAGTTCACTAAAACACCCACAGAAAGCATACTGCTTCCATGTTTTTTTTTGTTTAGAAGGCATAAGTATCTTCAGTTGAGTTCGCTGTGGGCCTGTGGGATAGTGATCAAGGCACTTGCTTTGTTCCTGGGGACCCGGGCTCATACACTCAGAAAGTTGAATTTGTTTATTATTATTTTTGGGAAAGGAAACTTTTTGGTTTTGTGCGTAAGGAAGGGGATTTCGAGACAACTCCAGCTATGCAGGTCAATCAGTGGGAGCTTCACTTGAAAAAAAAAAAAGATGTGCCGATCGAGACGTAAGCCCAGCTCATATTTTCCGTAGAAAAATATTGTGGCCTACAATGCTTGACAGGCCCCAGATCTTGAAACTATTGTAGTGCAGTTGCGAAACGACGGAATATGAAAGTCATGCAAGGCGGTAATAAAGCGCTTAATAGGGCTAGTTGGTGCTGCATGATAGACAAAAAAAGTGCTTAACAGTGCAAACGACAGGAGGAGTTAGAAGAGACGAGAAAAGAGTGCTGAACTAACAACCAAAGTTATTGGAAACCAACTGCACTTTATAGGAAAACAGAATCTGCACAAAACGACGCAACATCAGCGAAATCGCACAGACAGCGCCAAACGGCCTACCTCCATCGTCTCTTCTGTCCTCTCCGTCGCTTGCGCTGTTAAGCACTTTCTTTGTCTACCTGCAAGGTGGTAGCTGACACCTGGAGTCTTATCATATACTACGCCACGTCTTGGGCATTTTACGAGCGCGATAGTTCACTTACCCTACACCTAAAGTAAGGGGAAAGTCCCATGTTAGTGTGAAAGCACTCGTAGATGAGGGGGGGGGGCAACGAAAGAAGCGCTGAACTCGAACACTCATTAAGCTTTAATGTGCTACTTTGCTGAACTCTCGCATACTGTCATTGTGTGCGTTGTAGAGGGCTCAACGTGCTTATTTTGTGCACGAGATTGAAAGCATGAACATTTGGGGTGTTCGCAGCGCGCCAAGGACGTGCATGTGCAGACTGTGGGCCAGAACCTGTTTCCCGGAGACGTGTTGACGCACGTGGACGGAACCCCAGCTGACAAGCTGAGTCATTCGATCCTGCGGCAGTATCTGGCCAAGGCGCGCCCGGAGATCCAGGTCACCATTGCGCCGCTGTCGCCGTTGCGACGCAAGCGACCTTCGTCCACGCGCCTGCACGAGACCTTCATGTCGGACGACAGCGTCGGTGAACCTAGCAGCGCGGCAGCCGAGACCAACGATTGACGGCGTCTGCACACGGCGGCGAAATCTTTTGTTGGTGACGAGTGCGTGTCTTCGAATAATATTGGAATCTGCGCAAGTTTATTTTTTGTCGTTCAAAGCAAGTGTTATGATGAGCTTGTTTCATTAAAGTCTTACAATGCATCTCGCCTTCTTCACAGGTCTTAAAGCTTTTCGGAACAAAATAGCTTTTTTCTCACTAGTCACCTGGTTTGAATCCCACTGTTCGAATCCGCTGGTTCGAATCCCACTGTGTCCTTGGTGCTTTTCTTGGTTCTTTTTTTTTTTCTTCGCGCGATAGCAGTTACGGACACCGGCGATGGTGGTTGACTACAACGGGGCACGTAACCCATGTTATGATTTCATAACAGCTTGCACTGTAAGATATTTAGGACAGCATGCCAAGCCTAACGGAACTGTAGAACAGGACAGCCTGCTTTGCTTTCTTTTTCTGTTTCTTTTGTTGTCTTGTCTTTGTAGTTTTATATACTTTTTGCTCTCTTTATTTCCATCTCTTTCTTTCTGTGCTATGCTTTAATCTTTCTTTTTTTGCTATTTCTAACTTTCACCCTCGCTTCTTTCCACCTTATCCTCATTACCCTTTGCTATGTAATATATATGCTACAGAAGCCTACGCTACGCTCTCTTAGCGTGCCTGCACAGCCGAATGGTTGCCGTGCTAGCCTGAGGGCTATGGCAAGGTGAATGGAAATCTCACCCGGTGTAAAAATGTTTTCTGCGAGATTTTTTTCATTATTTTTTACTGTTTCTTCCTCGCTCTCTTTCCTAGCGACAGGTAGTGTGAGACTTTCCTTCTCCGATTTTTTTTTTTACAATCTGCCGTCACTGGAAAGAAAGCACTGGTGTCATTCTCTCTCTGTTCCAGTCATAGTTAGCTTTTGAAGTATCCAAGATACAAGCTTTGGGCTGTAAGGGCAATGACGACGAACCCACACTAATGGTTGGCGTAGTATTTACACTATAGCCGAGAAAAAAGTACACCTGATGATGCTTCGAGCGAAAATCAGAGTTACTGTCTCGCAAAAGCAAGCTGCAAGGCCGTAGCGGTTATGTGAGTGGAGTGCACATCTTCTGTTTCTTACTTCGGGGGAGAGGGGGTTGCTGTTGTAATTGACTATTGGTCATTCCATCTGTATGCGCAAAAGAATAAAAGTGCTGCAGATCCAGGAAGTGAATGCTGATGAGGCGTAACTCTATTGACGCAATAATAAACAATATAGAGAACGTTCAAGAAAATGTCTTTGGAACAGCTTTCGAGAGGTGCCGCGCCTGCGTATGGTCTCTTGTTAAATCATAAGCGCGCTACTTACGCTCTGTAAGCGGTATTGCGCACAGGTCTATTGCATCTGCGCTTCGGATATAAACGTACAATCCTGAAGCACTAAAGAGCTTCGCTCTTAAATGCCTAGCAAAAATAGGCAGCACAAAAATCGGGCATATTCTCTCCACTGCTCACCACTGGGCTCACCACTTGGTCACTTAAAATGACCAGACCACACGGGCGGAAATTGGCAATCACGATTGCACGCGGAACGCCAAAAGCACGCGGAAAGTTAGGCGGGACGGCGTACGTCAAGGCAAGAAGGCACACGCCTCTGACTCGCAAAAGGTACAATCAATACGCCTGGCAAACGCAGACGTATCACCACAGGAACTGATAGCAAACTGGTTTAGATAAGTTGATAGAATTAAAAAAAAGAAAAACACAAGGAAGGGGACAAGAAGATGGGTTCAATCTTTCTGGTGGTAATTTTTGCTGCTGATCTTGTTGTTGTTGCTGCTTAGTTTCACTAATTTATTCTGGCCAGTTGTGCATGAATAACTAATCAAGCATTCAATTCATGTATAATGTCTTATAGCGTGCTCCAACAACTGCTCCAATCAACTCATGAAGGAACAGTTTCAGGGCGGGACCTTGACAGCCCGGCAGTCGTGCATTTATACACCACGCAGTGTCGATAGCATGAGTATCAGTATATTCTTGCGCGTGTAAGATCACCAAAGAACTGATTTAGCAAACTTCTTTTTCAGGCGTGCCATTGCTTTTAACCATCTGCCCGCACTAGGCGCAGCAATTTTCGAGCTAACTATATGCGATGCTTTCGATGCGTTGCTCCTACAAGCGTGTATTTGTTAAAATCTGTAGAACATTACACAATTACACACAAATGCAGCTAGAAATGCTTTACAGAAGACGACCTAAAACTATGAGCATACCACAAAAGAAAAAATACGTTGGCGATGTTTTGAACAGAAATTGCTACTCGTGCATGGTTTTTTATACTAAAAATACTAATGTCCCTGGGTAGCGTATTCTAGTTTTAGTTATCCCAATGCCACTAAATACCTATTGTGAGCTTATTGCTTCAGTGCTAATGAAATTAAAGTTGATGCTCATCGCGAGTCAGAGTTGGAATATTTGTTTTTCATGTACTAAATATTTGATTACAGTTCTCACTGCGAGTGTAAACAGGTGCGCTAAGAAATTACTCATTGATGGCGTACATAGTTGAGTAAATGACGCAAAACGTACCTTGCAGTATGCTAATATAGACTCTAATAGGCGTCGAAGCGCGTGAGGGATTACTCATGGATACAAAATGTTGAGGTTGACGTCACTGGGTAGTTTTGGTGCGTAGAGAATATGAATATGTGATAAGTTATTCCCTGTCGAGACTCTTAGAAGTGAGGAGTGAACGCGTTCGTACGATCTGAAGAATAATCCATCAACTAGAAGGGGAAGTGCGCTCATCGTAATAGTTCACAAGCACTCTGTATTATTGAGGAAAACGGTGCTTGCGAGACGTGCAATTGCGGGTCATATTGAAAATGCGGGAGAAGCACGCGCAATTCTCGCCCCCTACAGCGCTTTTTGTGCCTTTTTGTTTCTTCTGCTTTATCTTCTCGAGCCTAGTGTCGTGATGTAGTTCATATTGGAGTTCGGCTCTTGGGATATTGCCTCCACTTCTACCATTCACTTTTTCTCGTCGACTGTTCTGAGGCTTTCTATTGCCACGCAACAACAGCGAAGCAGATTTTTCTCTAAATTGAGACAGCGATGCTGTTGTGAAAGTAGATTCTGCAATAATTAAGCCTGACCTGAAAAAAAAAATCTTGGAACGAGCGAGAGTATCAGTGACTCCACTTGATGGCAAGAACAATCGAATAAATATCAAAATCACTCAACCTAAACTTACGGTCATTCATTCATAATGTAAATTTTTCTGTAAAAGAACACAAAAAAGGTGATGCTACTGCGAGGAACAGGCCTGCACATATTGTGAAGTAAAACCTTTGTGAATTTTGCACCACAGTATGATCCTGGCGATAGTATTGGATCGAGCGTTACTTTTATATGGAAAAGTTTGCATCCCTAACTCATGGTTTGCTTTTTGTAAGGTTATATACACAATCACTGAAAACTGACAACATGACTGAACTGAATGAAGTAACATTATAAAGAATGATTGCAAATGCAATTACTCTTGTAATAACACCTATTTTCTGAAGAATAAATGAAGGTAAAGCTATTGTTACCGTCATTCCAGTGCCTGTACAGTGTACATGCAAAATGCATTAAAAGTTTTCGATCACTTTACATTGTTGCTTGTGGAATTGAACGTCGTTCTGATTTAGTCCATATTGGAGTGCGGCTGTTGGGATATTGCCTCCACTTCTACCATTCAGTTTTTCTCGCCGACTGTTCTTAGGCTTTCTATTGCCACGCAACAACAGCGGAGCAGATTTTTCTCTAAATTGAGACAGCGATGCTGTTGTGAAAGTAGATTCTGCAAACTTCTGTTTCAGGCGCGCCATCGCTTTTAACGATCTGCCTGCACTAGGCGCAGCAATTTTCAAGAAAAATGTATGCGATGCTTTCGAGTATCTTCGTGTGTATGTGAACGCATACATGCACTCATGTGCTGTTGCAGGCTTCATGCATGTGTGTGCATGCGCCCGTATGTTTTCAATTGTTTATGCATTCATGCATAATTGCCTGCATGCACGCGTGCGAGTGCGTGAGTGTGTGAGTGTGCATACTTTTTAAAATGCGAAGATGTTTGCCGTACTTGTGGGCGGGAGTTGGTGCATACATAATACGCAGCAGGCTTGACTGTACTGCAGAGCACTACACTGAAGTAAAACAGACTTTATAGTGCAAGACCAGGATTATGACTCCATGTGTCCAGCGTGGCGAAAAAAAGTACTAACGTTGATGTGTGCCGGAAATCTCTCAAGTATTGAAGGCACCCGCAGGCGTCTTCAATGATAAGCTAGCTGTTGACATCGAAAAAAAAAAGCTACGTGTTTTCACCGAAAAAGTGCTACTCAAGTTGCAACGACGCAAAAAGTTTGAGCAACGGGCCAGTTCATAAAAAAACGCCCCCCCCCCCCCCCCCCCCAAAAGTGTGCCTAGTGGTCGCTAATGTGGACGAAATCAAACGCTAACAGAAAACAAAAACCGAACAGATGAAACTAGGGATATGATAAAAAACTTCGATTAAATGTTAAAGACTCGAACTCTTCCTTCCTCAATCTTTCGTACGGTTTGAGATATTGCGCGGGCTGCGACACACTTTTTCTTGCTAAATTTTCCTACAACGCTTGCTTTCCTGAAACCTTTCAAATCACAAGAAGTGATTTCTTGGGCGTGATATGGAGTCACTCCGATTATTGAAAGAACAAATAAAAGGAGAGAAAAAAGAAATGGACAGAGAAAGAGATAGCAACTAGGAGACAGATAAACACTAAAAGAAAAAAGTGGCTTGACGATGTGGCACTTGAAGCCACGTATTCATGAAACACTGCAAGAAAATAGGCTTGACGAGGCGGTATTTAAAGCCGCGTATTAATGATCCGAAGCCAAGCATTGTAACTTTTTGGCTATCCAGGCATGAGAGCAGTGCACAACATAGCCTTCCATAGCAAGGGGGCTGAAAAGGAAAGCGAGGGTGAAGAGAAAAAAAATACAAGAGGGTGAAGTGGAAAGAGGGAAAGAAGGGAGACAGTAAAGCATAGCGTAGGGAGGAAGAAAAATATAAAGAAGAAAAAGAGAAAGTGAACGAA